TCTTTCCCCATCCAGATTATTCCACAGGAGGGAGAGGGAATCCGAAGGGAATTCGCATCTCCAATTATGCAGGGGTGAAATCCAGCAGGTTCTGACAGGTTCTGGAGAACTGGGAGCAGAAATTTTGAGTAGTTCAGAGAACCCGCAAATATCACCTCTGGCTGGCCCCAGAGCGGGGTGGGAATGGAGATTTTGCAGTATCCTTCCCTTGTCATACCCACCAAGCCACACCCTACCACGCCCACCAAGTCACACCCACAGAACCGGTAGTAAAAAAATTTGGATTTCACCACTGCAGTTATAGATATAACACAGTCCACTTTTGCCGACACAAATCCAGGTTGTAACTATAGGAATGACTTTGGTTTCCCTCCACTTGCAGTCCCAGAGTGCTATTTCCCTGTCCAGATTATTCTCCACCCTGCCTATCCGACAGGCCTCCACCCTACCTATCCGACAGGCAATTTGCATCTCCACCCAGGGATACAGAATTTTATTTTATTTATTTTATTTTTCAGATTTCTATACCGCCTTTCTCCTTTCGGACTCAGGGCGGTGAACAGCCAAAGTAAAACATTTGTACACAAAAGTTAAAATAGATTTAAAATAATTAAATAAAGTTTGGCCCATAATTTAAAACATTTCAATTCAAAACCAATTTCAAATTTTAAAAACCCACCGTAAAATCAGGACAGCCCGGCTAACTGAAAAAAAATACGTTTTAAGGGCCCGACGAAAAGTCCGGAGGTCTGGGATCACTCGTATCTCTGGGGGTAGATTGTTCCAGAGGGTAGGTGCCACCACAGAGAAGGCTCTCCCCCTGGGGGTCGCCAGCCGACATTGTCTGGCCAACGGCACCCTGAGGAAGCCCTCTCTGTGGGAGCGAACTGGCCGGTGGGAGGCAATTGGTGGCAGAAGACGGTCCCGTAAATACCCCGGCCCTAAGCCATGGATGATCAGCAATGATCCAGCTTTGGAGGCAGAGAAGAATCCCCTTCTTCCAATGCTCAATTGTTTTAACTTTCGTTGTTCTGTGATTCTGGCTGTTAATTTCAGATGCAGGAGCCCTTGAAGCAGACGGTCTTGGTACCTCCAGAAGGAGGAGAAAGTCTCTCCCATCCTTCTATGGAGCAGTTATTGGGAAACAATAACTCTGAGGAAAATCAAAATCCTCTTTGTGGTAGATCAGCGGCCGCTCAGGTATGGAAATTTCATCAGAGTTGGGAAACATTTGGAGATCTGTTTTTTTCATGAGACTGAATGCAGATGGTGATCAAGTATTGCACTCAAGATTTACGGGATTGGTCCTGTGCTCAAGTTGCTTGTTGACATGCAGCATTTGGAGAGATCGAATTCATTTATGGAATCAGTTGATTATTTAAGGCTCTTATGAATGCAACAGGTAAAAGGCGAAAGATTTATACGATCTGAAGAGAAACCAGAGTATGATTTCTCAACTAAGGGATGTGCAAGAAGAGGAATCAGGTCCTTTGTTTATTCACCTTTATAAACACAGTAGGCGTACACATAACCCATCAAAATAATCAAAGAAGTAAAATTATTGCAAAAAAGAGGAGTATTGCCATTAAATTCTAATCGGGATTAAGAGTCAAATATATCATCTTTGGATTACTGTATCAAAGAAGCAGCTACGAAAAGATTAAACTTTTTGGAAGTATTTAGGAAAGGAAATGGCAGTTTTCATGCAAAAGGAGATAATAACACAGGTGCTTAGACCTTTGAAGTCTTTCTCTGAGATGAATTGTGCCAAGAATTAATTCCAACCAGGCAGGTGAAACAGAACAGAATAACAGAGTTGGACCTTGTAGGTCATCTAGTCCAACCATCCTATCAAGCAGGAGACCCATACCGTTTCTGACAAGTGGCTGTCCAGTCTCTTCTTAAAAGCTGCCAGTGATGAAGCTCCTACAACTTCCAAAGGCAAGCTGTTCCATTGGTTGATTGTTCTGTCATAAAAATTATCCTTATTTCTAGGTTGAATCTCTCCTTGATCAGTTTCTTTCCATTATTCCTTGTCTGGCCTTCAGGTGCTTTGAAAAATGGATTGACCCCCTCCTCTCTGTGGCAGCCCCTCAAATATTGGAAGACTGCTATCATGTCTCCCCTGGTCCTTCTCTTCACTAGACTAGCCATGCCCAGTTCCTGTAACCGTTCTTCATATGTTTTAGCCTCCAGTCCCCTAATCATCTTGGTTGCTCTTCTCTGCACTTTTTCTAGAGTCTCAACCTCTTTTTTATAGTGTGGTGACCAAAACTGGATGCAGTGTTCTAGGTGTGGTCTTACTAAGGCTTTATAGAGTGGTTTTAGTATGTCATGTGATCTTGATTGGATCCCTCTGTTAATGCAATTTAGGATTGCATTGGCTTTTTTGGGGTTACCTTTCCCCTCAGATCTAGGGTTCCATTTTGATCTAAAGAAAATCTCTCCAGGATGGTTATGTTGCTACTTCAACATGCACACTTTAATTCCATCCTTGTGCACTTGTGGGCGCTTCAAAAGTGAATCTTTAGAAAGGCTGCTATAAAACCCCCTAGTAGTATGTCATGTCCGAAAAGGAGCATTTTCTCTCTTACAAAACTCATTTTTCGAGGAATTGGAAATCTGGAAGAAAACTTTCTGGGACTCCTGCTGAGAAACACATCCTTTGACTTTCAGGGTTTGGTATCCTTTGAAGAGGTGGCTGTTTATTTCACGGAGGAGGAGTGGGCGCTGCTGGATCCCAGCCAGAGAGCCTTGTACGAGGAAGTCATGCTGGAGAATTCTAGGAATGTGGCTGCTCTGGGTAAGAACCTGTTTTGCTCTGGATTCGGGTATTTGTGGAAAATCTTTGGTTGCCATGAGTGCTGAGAAAGCACCTTCCATTTAGGAGAAGGATATTCTGGGACTTATCTAAGGCCAAAATAAAAATATGGAGAAGTTGATGCTGTAGATACTGCCTAGGATCCTTTTTCATCTGACTGTTTGAGGATATTATTTAAGTGAAGATGTCTGGTCTGATTCAGGAACAGATAAATCTAAATAAAAAGCTTCAGGGGAGGAAGATATTGCCTTGAATGTCTCTGACATCTGTTCCTTACAAACACCCACTTTCCTAGGTTGCTTAAGAACCAGTGGCAGTTCTCATAATAGCATGTTTAGTCAAAGGGCTCTGGCTTGACTGTGAGTACCATACTTTTCGGAGTATAAGACGCACTTTTCTCACTACACCAAATAGCCATTTTTGGCCTCCCGAAGCCCCGCCCTGCATGTCCCGTTTTTGCGAAAAACGGGACTTTTTCTGCAAAAACAGGGCGCGCAGAGGCTTTGGCAGGCCTGCAAAGTGCTCCGTTGGGCTTGGGAGGACCAAAATGACCCCATTTTTTGCAAAAACAGGGTGCACAGAGGCTTTGGGAGGCCTGCAAAGTGCTCCTGGGGTCCAGGGAGGGCAAACACTTTTTTTTTTCTTGCTTACCACTTCAAAATCTTGGTGCGTCTTTTACACCGGTGCATCTTATAGTCCGAAAAATACAGTAAATCATTTGTAAATTCCATGTAAAGTTGAGAACAAGTGGCATTGTTTTCCCTCAGTGCTTTATGTCACTGCGTTTTTGTATTTACCAGGTGAGCTCTTATTTTTGAACTCTAAGACTTACCGTAGCTTGCCAAGTTTCTTATCAGTAAGCTAACTGCGCATGTCTACATTCCTTCACTTTCTTCTAACTTTCTTTGTTCTCCTGCCAAGAGGTCCGGCCAGGAGAGGTGGCTGGGAAAAGCTTTGCCAAGATGTAATTAATTAGATCAGTAAGATGTTTTATTTTCTTTATAACAAATAAATGAGTTTTTCTTAGAAAATATATCTTCGGGTTTATTTTCTTAATGTATACTTCAGGGAAAGGTCACAATCCATTTCTCTAAATCAAGGTGCGATTACCCAAAAGCAGAATGGGATTAATTGTCACCCTGACACTTTAGCCCAAGATAAGTCTATAGGTTACTGTTAAAGAAGATGCTGTCTGGAATTCTGGGATGATTTCAAGAATATAAATAGCACTGAATCCAGTTAGTAGATTAAAAAGTATTGCAGCCACTGCCCAAGCAAAGCAAATTCATATGTTAACATTTCTCAATTGATACGAAACACATCTACTGTTTGCTTTCTCAGAATTTTCATTATGTTTAGAACTTTGTTTGATTCCTGGCAATGAATGCCCATAGGAGCAAACTGATTTGCTTAACGATTGCCACATTTGTTTAACAAATGCTGCAAAACACATCATAATATCAAGCACGTTCACATAGTGATCCGTTTAATGACCACCACAAGCTACAATATTAATTCTGGGCTCAATTACAGTCATAAATCAAGAATTACCTGTATCGGGTGCACTGTTTTTCTGTCATGTACACAATGATTAACTTTTATTTTTCATTTTCTTCAAATCAGCTTCTGGGCTGGAGCATGAGAACTGCAAGGAGCCCAGCATAATCGTATTCCGAATGATCAAATCTGAAGAAGACACACTTGTAGATGAAGAACCATCACAAGGGAGTAAGAAAAGCTGTCAAGTGAATGGAGGGAAGGAATCTTCTGGATACAGTGAAGTCCTTTATCTCCCAACCCAGGAAGTTCACCAACAAGAAAAAGAGGGAAAATATCTCAGATACGGCAAAGAAGACAAAGAGAACTCTGATTTCACTAAATATTATGCAACCCAGACCGAAGAGGAACAATATGAATATCAAGAGGATGGGCAAAGTATCAGCTCTACCTCCTACCTTGCTTTACATCGCCCATCGTGCATCCAAGAGATACCATATGCATTTATAAATTCTGGGGGAAATTTTAGTTATAGCAATCATATAATTTCCCATAAAGAGGAGAAGCCATATGGATGTGGAATAGATTTTGGTAAGAAACGACTGCTGCTTTCACCTCCCCAAATTCCTCCAAAGGAGAAACCCTATAAATGTCTTTGGTGTGAAAAGACATTCACTCAGAGAGGTAACCTTACTATACATGAAAGGATCCACACGGGGGAGAAACCCTATCAATGCCTGGATTGTGGAAAGACATTCGCTGAGAGAACCAACCTTGTCACACACAAAAGGATCCATACGGGGGAGAAACCGTATATATGCCTGTTGTGCGGAAAACGATTCAATCAGAGCGGTCACCTTACGAGACATCAACGGACCCACACGGGAGAGAAACCGTATACATGCCTGCAGTGTGGGAAGAAGTTCAGTGGATGTTCCAGCCTTCTGAAGCACGAAAGAAGACACACGGAGGAGAAACCGTACCTATGTATGGAGTGTGGGAAGAGCTTCCACGACATCAGTGTCCTCGATCACCACAAAAAGATCCACATGGGAGAAAAACCGTACAAATGTGTGGAGTGTGGGAAGAGCTTCAGGCGAGACTCTCACCTCGTGAAACACCGAAGAATTCACACCGGGGAGAAACCCTACCAATGCTTGGAGTGTGGGAAGAACTTCCATCTGAAAGGTAGCCTTTTGCAACATAAAACCATTCATACGGGGGAAAGACCCTACCGGTGTTCAGAATGTGGGAAAGGCTTCAGACAGAACAGCACTCTTTTCCAACACAGAGCCATTCACACAGGGGAGAAACCATACACGTGCCTGGAGTGCGGAAAGAGTTTCAGTCAGAACTACAAACTCTTGCAACACAAAAGGATTCACACGGGGGAGAAACCGTACAAGTGCGAGGAATGCGGGAAGCGTTTCAGTTGCAGCAGCGACTTCAGCTGCCATAAAAAGATTCATACGGGGGAGAAACCGTATAAATGCCTGGAGTGCGGAAAGGGTTTTAATAAAAGGAGTTGCCTTACGTCCCATAAAAGAAAACACACGGGAGAGAAACCGTATCAATGCACCGAGTGCGGAAAGAGATTTTCTTATAACTTTGTCCTCAGATACCATCAACAAACCCATACTGGAGAGAAACCATATAAATGCTTGAAGTGCGGAAAGGCATTCAGCAGATGTTCAAATCTTAAAATCCATATAAGAATCCATACGGGGGAAAAACCGTATAACTGTCCGGAGTGCGGAAAGAGCTTCCGTAAGGACAGTGACTTTATTCGTCACAAAAGGATCCACACGGGAGAAAAACCGTACAAGTGTTTGGAGTGCGGAAAGAGTTTCACTCAGAACGCGAACCTTATCAAACATAAAAGAATTCACACAGGAGAGAAACCGTACAAATGTGTAGCGTGTGAAAAAAGCTTCAGCCAGAAAAATCACCTTTCTCAACACCAACAGACCCACAAAAGAGAAAAATCCTAACTTGGGAGCTTTATCCCAAATGTTTTTTTTTTCTCCAAAAGGGACCCTCCTGGAAAAAAACATAGAAATATGTGGTCTATGGTATAATGTTCAATTGGAAGAGTAGCCCTATCAGGCCTAAAGAAATCCATGTGAGAGAACCATAAAAATGCACAGTGTGGGAATAGATTCAGAAAGGATTCCACTCTTATTTTCTAGAAAAAATCTTTTGGGAGGAATGTCTGGATGGTGGAGAAACCTTTCATGACCATCACTGGAATAGAAATGGCAAAGAAAATATGTTAAATCAAGAGTCTCCAACTTTGACAACTTTAAGACTTGTGGACTTCAACTCCCCGAATTCCTCAGTCAGCCATGCTGGCTGGGGAATTCTGGGAGTTGAACTTCATAAGTCTTAAAATGGCCGAGGTTGGAGATCCCTGTTTGACAAGGAATGCTTGAAAGAGGAGAAAAGATTGAAAGAGCCCCAAAAGGAATCATAGCATGGAATTGCAGTGAGGTCTCAGGAATCTTCAGGCTGAATAATTTAAAGTTGGCAAGTGATATTCAGAAAAGGGGCTAATTTAAAAAAAGATCTATTGGGAACACCTGGTGATCTGTGGATTTGGCCAAAAGAAGGAAAAACCAGAAATGCTTTTTAGCTTGATTGAACAGTTCCTGGTATGCAGAGGTCCTTGGTGCTTTCTGAGCTTGGTTGTTTTGTTGCACTTGTTTCATTACCAAATTGCACTGATGATATTACCTAGTATGGTAATGAAACATCTACGAGAAATAAACAAACTCAACCCTGAGCTACAAATATTCTATTACTTCCTGGTATTTTATCTCTTTTGCCACTGAATTTTTGATACGTAACTCAAGACCTAAAAGTTTAATTTCATTTATTTCTTCATTTTTTCGGTTGTACATACAAAGAAAAAACAATAATGTTCATATGAATAAAGGTATAAAAATATAAAAGACAGTGAAAAAGAACAAATTTCAATTTAAGTGGTGAAATACAGACGGATAGCTGAGAAGTCTTCAATTACCAGCAGTTCCTGTATCAAATGTCCAATATATTCTATCGTTGTTGTTAGTTGCAAAGTTGTGTCCGACCCATCACAACCCCATCCTCTACCATCCTCTGGAGTCCATTTAAGATCATAATGTATATTCTATACATTATTAATAAGTTATAGCAACACTATAGAGATATCCAATTTCTAGTTAAAATGTCTTTATGAAAATATTGTGGATTAGCACAATGTGCAAATCATGGAAAAAGTTTACTTATGGGGCTGTGACATTATATAACCCTAACTGCTCTGAGAGGTCAAGGGAAGGTGGGGGGGCTGATACCCCTCTGGTAGCCCTGGGATAGAGTGGGAGAGGCAGAGGAGTCTCCAGGCATCCCCATCAGTCTGAGGTTTTAAAGCCACTTTGATCCCATGATTGTCAAACATGCCCTTTTGTGGCTTTTACTGGTCCACCCCAAGGTGCTAAATTAAGCTTGAGATCACCATTGCTTTGATGCAAATTGGAGATGAGTGCAAGAAAATAACCTTGTCACACAGGTATCAAACATACAAGGTGAAATGTGCAACTAATCCATTTTTCCATTGAGTGTAACTCAGTTTGGGGTGATGGTGCAGTGGTTAGAATGCAGGTGCTGCAGGCTACTTCTGCTGGCTGCCGGCTACCTGTAATTTGGCAGTTCAAATCTCACCAGGTTCAAGGTTGACTCAGCCTTCCATCCTTCCAAGGTCGGTAAAATGAGGACCCAGATTGTTGGCGGCAATATGCTGACTCTAAACTGCTTAGAGAGGGCTATAAAGCAGTATATAAGTGCTATTGCTATTGCTATAACTCATGAAATGACAAGGTTGGTTTGCCATTGTTTCCCATCTGGTCAAAGCCAGGGACTGAAAGAAGTGTCCTCACAACTCCTTATTTGGGGAAAAAGCTTTAGTTGTTTTGGAAGTAGAGGGAAGCTGCTGGGGAAGAGATCAGAAAAAAAAACCCAGGATTGATGTCTTATGTAGATTTCCTATCGCATACTTTTAAGTTCATGACTGTGCATTGAGTAGTTCCTTGTACTTTTGTCTCTTGCCATTGAATACTACTGTATATCCTATTCAATACAGATAGTCCTCTACTTACAACAATTCATTTAGTGACTGTTGCAACAGAGTCAGGGCAATAGGCTGACTCTGTAAAACCGCTTAGAGAAGGCTGTGAAGCGGTATATAAGTCTATTGCTATAATGGCTATTGCTATTTCTTAGCAGAGGCATAATAAGATATTCATAGCAAGAATCCCTCCATCATTGAGTCCTAAAGTTCGGAGCATCCTTGATCTTCTAGTCTAGAGGCCCCAAAACTTTTGGGTACCAGGGACCAGTTCCATGGAGAGAGGTTTTTCTGTGGATCGGAGGGGACGTGGTTTTTCCATCCCGTGGATGGGGCATCGCTTTTTTGTGTGGCTCAGTTTCTGGTATGCCACGGCCCTGTGCCGGTCCACAGATCAGGGGTTGGGAACCCATTTTACTCCGATCACAAGACAAAATCCTCAGTCGGGTCCACTTTCAACCTCCTGTAAGAGAGCCCTGCAATGGCTTAAGAACACAGGTAAGTCCTATGACTTAACGACCACAGTTGAGCCCAGAATTGATGTTGCTAAGTGACAGATTCGTTAAGGGAATTTTCCCTTTTAACGACTTTCCTTGCCACAGTCATTAAGTGAATCAACACACTTGTTAAAATTAGTAATCCGGTTGTTCAGCGAATATGGCTTCCCCTCCCATGAACTTTTTTGCTTGTCAGAAGGTCGCAAAAAAGGGGAATCCCATGACCCCGGGGTTCTGCGACCGTCATAAATATGAGTCAGTTGCCATGGGGTTGCATTTTGATCACGTGCTGTAACGGTTGTAAGTGTGAGCAATGGTCCTAAGTCACTTTTTTTCAGTGCTGCTTTAGAATTAGAATAGAATAGAATAGAATAGAATAGAATAGAATAGAATAGAATAGAATAGAATTCTGCTACCACTGTACTTGGTAGTACAGTGGTCTAAGGCACCCTGTTATTAAGCTGGTTATTAAGACCAGCTGCCTGCAATTACTGCAGATTCGAATCTCGCCAAGGCTCAAGGTTGACTCAGCCTTCCATCCTTTCTAAGGTAGGTAAATTGAGGACCCAGTTTGTGGAGGCAATAAGCTGACTTTGTATAAATATACAAAAGGATGAAGGCTATTGCTTAACGCATTGTAAGCCGCCCTGAGTCTCCGGAGGAGGGCGGCATATAAATCAAATTTAAAAAAAAAAAATAGAATAACAGAGTTGGAAGGGATCTTGGAGGTCTTCTAGTCCAGGGGGTCTCCAACCTTGGCCCACTTTCAGCCTGGCGGACTTCAACTCCCAGAATGCCCCAGCCAGCAATGCTGGTAGATGCCTTAAGCAAAGCTGGCTGGGGCATTCTGGGAGTTGAAGTCCTCCAGGCTTAAAGTTACCACGGTTGGAGACCCCTGTTTTAGTCCACCCACCCACCCACTCCCCACCCACCCCGTTTAGGCAGGAAATCCGACACCACTTCAGACAAATGGTTATCCAACACCTTCTTAAAAATCCCCAGTGTTGGAGCATTCCTAAAGGAACCGTTGGAAGTCGAGGACTACCTGTATTGCCAGCAGTGGCCACCCCGCAAGAGAAAAAAAAAAAAAGGCGCAGAGGGATGGATGCAGGAGACCTTTTAAAGGTTGGGGGGGGGACGAGAGAAGCTTAGCCCCTCTAGGAAGAGGTTCTCTCTCGCCTTCCCGGAGGGGAGGGGGCGTTGCGCTGCTGGGCCGGGGGTGGGGGAAGAGAGTTGCCGCTCCGTTTTTCCAAAGCGAAACCATTTGGGAAAACGGAGCGGGGGGAGGAGGAAAGAAGGGAGGATTTTTGTTTCTCTCTCTCCCCCCCCCCCCGCTTTTCCCGGGATGGAGGAGGCGGCGGGGAAGGGGAATCCGGAGCGGAGCAGCTGAGTGGCGGGGCAGGAGAAAGGAAGATCGGACTTGGCGCGGGGGGGCAGCCCGATGGCCTTACAAGGAGGAGGAGGAGGAGGAAGGCTGGGCGGCAGCCAGGCGGGAGAGGGTCCCCAAGGAACCGCAGGGCTCAGAGGCTGAGCGCTTCCTCCGTTTTGGGCTCCCGGGCGGTCTGCAGCCGCCTGCAACGGCTTCGACCCCGGCTGGCTCAAGCCCCGAGAGGAGGAGGAGGAGGAGGATCCCGGAGAGACTACCCGCTCAGCTCTCCTCGGGGAGGCAGGTGAGAGGAGATATATCCCCTCTCCCTTGACCGGCTCAGATGCAGGTCCTAGCAATAGAAGATGCTCTGGTTTCCCCTCCCAGTTTCAGTCCCAGAATCCTCTGTTTTCACATCCAGTCCTCGATTTACAACAATTCATTTAGTGACCGTTTGAAATTACAACAGAAAGTGAGGGTCTCTCCTTTCCTGGGAGGAAGATCCAGTTCCCTTGCCCTCCGCTCAAAGGCAGGTCCTATCAAGAGAAGATGCCGTGGTTTCCCTCCATTTTCAGTCCCAGGGTTCTCTTTGCTCGTCCAAATTAGAGGTAGTCCTCGATTTACAACAGTTCATTGAGTGACCGTTTGAAATTACAACAGAAAGTGAGGGGCTCACCTTTCCTGGGAGGAAGATCCAGTTCCCTTGCCCTGGCTCAGATGCAGGTCCTATCAAGAGAAAGAGAAGATGCCTTGGTTTCCCTCCATTTTCAGTCCCAGGGTTCTCTTTGCTCGTCCAAGTTAGAGGTAGTCTTTGTTGATTTACAACAATTCATTGAGTGACCGTTTGAAATTACAACAGAAAGTGAGGGTCTCTCCTTTCCTGGGAGGAAGATCCAGTTCCCTTGCCTGGCTCAGATGCAGGTCCTATCAAGAGAAAGAGAAGATGCCGTGGTTTCCCTCCAATTTCAGTCCCAGGGTTCTCTTTGCTCGTCCAAATTAGAGGTAGTCCTCAATTTACAGCAAATCATTTAGTGACCGTTTGAAATTACAACAGAAAGTGAGGGTCTCTCCTTTCCTGGGATGAAGATTCAGTTCCCTTGCCCTGCTCAAAGGCCAATAGACAATGTTCTGGTTTCCCTCCACTTTCAGCCCCAGAGTTCTGGTTCCCATCCAGATTATTCCACAAGACGAAAGGAAATCCCAAGGGAATTAGCATCTCCCAACTATCGATATAACCGTCTTTGGAGACACAAATGCAAGTTGTAACAATGGAAGTGACTTTGGTTTCTCTACGTTTCCAGGCCCAGAATTCTGTTTTCCCCTTCAGATTATTCCACAGAGAATCTCAAGCAAATCTCCATCAAGGGATATTGTCCCGTTTTGGAGGCAGAGAAGAATCCCCTTGTTCCAATGTTTAATTGTTTTAACTTTTGGCCTTCTTTGATCCTGGCTATATTTTAAGTGGCTATATTTATATTTTAAATGGACGCGGTGGATCAGTGGCTAACACGCTGAGCTTGTCGATCGAAAGGTCGGCAGTTCTGCTGTTCGAATCCCTAGTGCCGCATAACGGGGTGAGCTCCCGTTACTTGTCCCAGCTTCTGCCAACCTAGCAGTTCGAAAGCATGTAAAAATGCAAGTAGAAAAATAGGGACCACCTTTGGTGGGAAGGTAACAGCGTTCCATGCGCCTTTGGTGTTTAGTCATGCCGGTCACATGACCACGGAGACGTCTTCGGACAGCGTTGGCTCTTGGGCTTTGAAACGGAGATGAGCACCGCTCCCTAGAGTCGGGAACGACTAGCACATATGTGCGAGGGAAATCTTTACCTTTACCTTTACTATATTTTAAGTTGCAGGGCCAGCTGATGAAGATGGCCACGGTACCTCCTGAAGTTGAAGATCTTTTTGGTCTCTCTCTGGATCAGCTGTTGGGTTTCTCAGAGGAGGATCCAAATCGGGTATTGTTGCCAGGTAAGTGAAGATTGCTTCCGCTGGCAGCGAACCTGGAGTCATTTCATTCTTGTGTCTCTTCTACACATAATTCTGGCTTTAATTTTTAGCGTGTTCCAATAACTGGCTCAGCCAGCTTCCAAATATTATTTATTTATTTATTTATTTATTTTTAATTTGATTTATATGCCGCCCTTCTCTGGAGACTCAGGGCGGCTTACAATGCGTTAAGCAATAGCCTTCATACTTTTGTATATTTATACAAAGTCAGCTTATTGCCCCCACAAACTAGGTCCTCATTTATCCTACCTTAGAAAGGATGGAAGGCTGAGTCAACCTTGAGCCTGGTAAGATTCGAACCTGCAGAAATTGCAGGCAGCTGTGTTAATAACAGGGTGCATTAAACCACTGTACTACCAAGGCTTGCTTTATTTATTTATTTATTTATTTATTTATTTATTTATTTATTTATTTATTTATTTATTTATTTAATTTGTATACTGCCCTTCTCCCAAAGGGACTCAGGGCAGTGAACAGCCAAAATTAAAATACAATACAATACAAAAGTTAAGATAATTAAAAGATTAAATCAATCGGCCACCCAATTTAAAACCCCAAGTCTATAAAATTTAAAAATCCCATTAAAAACCAAAAGGAGCCGTGGTGGTGCAGTGGTTAAAACGGAGTATTGCAGGCTAACTCTGCCCACTGCCAGGAGTTCGATCCTGATCTGCTCAAGGTTGACTCAGCCTTCCATCCTTCCGAGGTCAGTAAAAATGAGGACCCAGATTGTTGGGGGCAATAGGCTGACTCTGTAAACCTCTCAAACAGTGCTGTAAAGCACTGTGAAGCGGTGTATAAGTCTTACGTGCTATTGCTGTTGCTATTCTTCATCCATCTCCTTTTATCTTGACCACAGGGAACCCAAGGCTGTTGATGGAAACCACTGAAACATCTCCGTGGGGTGGAGCTGCAACAGCTCAGGTGGGGAGCCTCATTAGGGCAGGAACATCCACAGAGGGCATTTGTGCCGTGAGAGTCCACACAAAGCTTATTAAGGAGGTCAAATGTTGAGATCAAAATTTGGCTTCATCCGTCTTTCAAGATGTTTTCTTAAGCACAACCTACTGAAGAGTTAGTCCTCCAAGATAGACCAAATTTAAAACCAAAGCAATGGAAGATAATACTACTTTCTCTGTAGGGTTATAGTAACAGAATCTTGCAAGTCTGCCTCACTTTGTCTTGATGACAACTAGGCAGTGCGACACCTGAGAAATGTTCTCAAATTACATTTCTGTCCCAGACTCTGATTTCTGCTGTAGGATCATTCTCCTGGTAGGGACTTTTCCTCCTGGTCCATTACATTCATATTGAGATACTGAGTTCATTTAAGGAATCAGTTCCTTTATTGAAGGAATCAAGTTTCTTGAACCTGCAGTGGATTACATTAATTTATTCGAAAAAAATCCTTTGTATCCGAGGTATGTGTGAAACAAGGAATTAGCTAGCAAAAAATGAAAGCACGGAGTCATTTTAAATTTGTTAAGTTCCATTCAAACATTAATAGGCCAACTCATAACCAGTTAAACAAATCAGAGCAGTTACATTGTGGCATATGTCAACGCAGATCCGGTTAAAAGTTCTATATATGTGAGGTATGGATTTTTTTTTACATCAAAATGGCATCTTGTCTGAAAAAAAATGGAAGTTTTGACACAAAAGGAGATGCGACAAACTGGCTTATTGTTGAAGGAAAAAATTCTAACCAGACAGGTAGCTGGTCAGAGAGACAGCTATTAAACCTAGCAGTACATTGTGTCAGGAAAGGAGCATTTTCTCTCTTGCGAAACTCATTTTTTTTTTAGGATATTGGAAATGTGGAAGGGAGGTTTCTGGCACTTCCGCTGAGGAACATATATCTTTTGAATTCCAGGGCTTGGTGTCCTTTGAGGAGGTGGCTGTGTATTTCACGGAGGACGAGTGGGAGCTCCTGGATCCCAGCCAGAGAGCTTTATATGGAGAAGTCATGTTGGAGAATTCTAGGAATGTGGCTGCTCTGGGTAAGGATCCGTTTTGCTCTGGATTCAGTTAATTATGGAAAGTCTTTTATCATCCAAACTATGACAGCTTGTTCAAGGTTGAGGGAGACATTCTGTTTTCGAGTTTTTTTTTTTATTATTATTATTGTGATTCCAGAGTAAATAAATGGAAAAATTGGTAGATGCTTCTCAGGATCCTTTCTCAGCTGAGTTTTTATTCTCTCGCTTGATCAGACGATCGTCAGGTTGGAAGGGATCTTGTGGTTCTTCTGATTCTCCTCTGCCCAGTTCTCTTAACTGTTCAAGGGACACCGGGTTAAGAAACAAAGATCACGCAGGCGAAAACTGGTTTTAAAGTATAGTCAGAGAATTCTGCAAGTCTGAATGTACTTCCCTGCCCCCTTCCCTCCTTTCTGAGAATACTGAAGGCCTTGTCTGAGAGGTTTTCTCATGTTACAGTTCTGTTTGGGACTCGGGTTTCTTTTATCCGACCTTATATCTCCTGAGTGGCTGTTTCTCTTGTCTTTCAAGGTCATTTCTTCTGCCCATTACTTCACTTCCCCCAGTCCTCCTTTCCACGTATCCAGAGAATTCTGAATCTGGACCATAGGAATGAAGTGCAGAGGAGCTGCTCCAGTTTGCATGCCCCGAGTATCAGAGGCCATCTCACAGGGTGGATTTGATTTAAATCAAGATTTAAATCTTGCTTTTAGAATAGAATAACAGAGTTGGAAGGGACCTTGGAGGTCTTCTAGTCCAACCCCCTGCTTAGGCAGGAAATCCTATACCATTTCAGACAAATGGTTGTCCAATCTCTTCTTAAAAACTTCCAGTGTTGGAGTATTTACAACTTCTGGAAGCAAGTTATTCCACTGATTAATTGTTCTAACTGTCAGGAAATTTCTCCTTAGTTCTAGGTTGCTTCTCTCCTTGATTAATTTCCACCCATTGCTTCTTGTTCTACCCTCAGATGCTTTGGAGAATAGCTTGACTCCCTCTTCTTCGTGGCAACCCCTGAGATATTGGAACACTGCTAGTCCTTCTTTTCATTAAACTAGACATACCCAGTTCCTGCAACCCTTCTTCATATGTTTTAGCCTCCAGTCCCCTCATCATTTTTGTTACCCTTCTCTGCACTCTTCCTAGTGTCTCCACATCTTTTTTTACATTGTTTAAATCACTAGTAAGAAGGCTTGATTTAAATCAACTCGATTTAAATCATAATTTTTAAAGAGCAACTGTCATCTCTGTCCCGCAGTGGCTCCTCCTCTGACCCGCTGTTCACTCACCGACAGCCCCATTCACTTTAATGGGACAGCTGGTGATGCGGCAGTGATACAACAAGGTGAGGGACGTGGCAGGCAGCAGGTGAGTGGGTGCCCGCTAACAGGCACTGCCATGATGGATCTGAAATGACAGGTGCTCTTTCAATGTAAGGACTCATTCCTGCCGGTAGTTAGAATCTTCAATATTATTATTTGCAAACAAAATGAAGGTTTCCAGAGCTTGGATTCATTGAATGAGTTTGCCAAAAATGTAATTATTGCAGAATATACAGCCTCATGCTACATAACCAAGGTCCCTTTCATGCTGAATAAACTAAATTATTAATGTATCTTAAATAGAAAACTATCTTTAGATAGATTTTTACTCCAAAAGCATTTTATTAAAATAAATTTGATAAAAATCAAAAAAATCCAATTAAAATTTTTAAAAATCCGATTTTTTCTATTTTTTAAAAAAAATTATAGATTTTTATCCACCCTGCCATCTCCAGAAGCCAAAGTGGGATCTTCTACCTCTCTAGAAAGGAAATAATGGACTTTCAATGTAGACCAGACTAGGAAATCAAAGTCATCATACATAACAATATTACTTTTATTATAAAATTATGGTAATCGAATCTAGCAAGCCTGAGTGCATTCCTTCCTCCCTCCCTCCCTCCCGCCCTTTTTCTTTGTGATAACTAAGAAGGTATTTTTCTGAGACAATTTTCCCATTTGGAAAAACAATAGAAATATGTAGTCTGTGGAATAATGTTCAGTTGGAAGAGTAGCCCTATCAGGCCTAAAGAAATCCATGTGGGGGAACCACAAAAATGCACAGTGTGGAAAGAGATTGAAAAAGAATTCTGCCCTTATTTTCCAGAAAAATCCTTCTTTTGGGAAGAATGTCTGGATGGTGGAGAAACCTTCAGGATCATCACTGGAATTGAATTGACAAACAAAATGTGTATTAAATCACTTTGGCCACTTTTAAGACTTGTGGACTTCAACTCCCAGAATTGTTCCGTCAGCCATGCTGGCTGGGGAATTCTGGGAGCTGAAGTCCACGAATCTTAAAACTTGCCAAGGAAACCCCTGTTTGAAAAGAAATATTTGAAAGAGGAGAAAAGATTAAAAGAGCCCCAAATAGGAATCCTGTCAAAATAGCTCGGAGTTACAATGATGGTCTCAGAAATGTTCAGGCTGAATGATCTAAAGTTGGCAAGAAATATTCAGAAGGTCATTTCTTCTGCCCATTACATCACCTCCCCCATCTGCCTCAGTCTTCCCTTCCATATAGTCCTTCCTTCTTTTTTCTTTGTGAGAACTAGGAAGGTTTTTTTTCTGAGACAATTTCTCAGTTTACAGTTCTGGCCTGAAGTCAGGTTTCTTTTATCTAACTGTTGTCTTGGTGATAGTTCTTCCTCTTGTTCCTCAAGGTCATTCCTTCTGCATGTTTATAAGTTCTTATCTTTGCCAGAAATATTCCATTTCAGTTTGTAGTTCAAACGTTGCATTTTCAGAGGTTTCTTGGATGTTTGTGGGCAAACCTTAGTGTAGGACAGATAGGATAGAGATGTATTAGACGTCCTTTTCTCTGTTACTTGAAATGCCCCCATGAATTTCAGTCAGTGTGTGACTAAACAGTGTAGGATAATCCTGAAACTGCATTTGCTAGGATAAATGTCAAGGGATCAGTTGAAGAGGTTACACCCACGGAAAGTAAGGTGGACTCAACTCAGGAGTGAAATAATAGAAAATACTTTTCATCAGGTTCGCCTGATTCGCCAGTTGCGTCCCTTTCTAGATCGGGACTCCCTACACACAGTCACTCATGCCCTCGTTACCTTCCGCCTGGACTATTGTAACGCTGTCTACATGGGGCTCCCCTTGAGGAGCACCCGGAGGCTCCAACTGGCGCAGAGTGCGGCCGCGCGGGTGGTTATGGGAGCAACATGGCGCTCCCGTGTGACACCTCTCCTGCGCGAGCTGCACTGGCTCCCGGTGGTCTTCTGGGTGCGCTTCAAGGTTTTGGTTACCACCTTTAGAGCGCTCCATGGCTTAGGACCTGGCTACTTACGGGACCGCCTACTACCACAAACAGCCTCCCACCGGCCGGTACGCTCTCATAGAGAGAGGCTCCTCCAGGTGCCATCAGCCAAACAATGTCGACTGGCGGCCCCTAGGGGGAGGGCCTTCTCTGTGGGGGCACCTACTATCTGGAACAAGCTCCCCCCGGAGATACGGAGGATCCCGGATCTGCGCACTTTCCGCCATGCTTTGAAGACACTCCTATTCCAGCAGGCTGGCCTGGCCTAATTTTTTCCCCTTCTTTTAAATTTTTGAACTCAAATTTTAATTCGTTTTAAATTATTGGGAGTTTTAAATTGTCTCGGGCAAAAATTATTTAATTGGGTTTTAATCATGTCTTAACTTTTGTATTTATGTGTTTTATTTCGTGCCTGTTCACCGCCCTGAGTCCTTCGGGAGTAGGGCGGTATATAAATTTAATAAAATGAAAAATGAAAAAAAAATGAAACTTGTAGCTAAGGTTTTAGATTTTTGGCAGTGGTTTGCTCTCCAAACTTGTTTCAATCTAGTTTCTGAATGTTTCGTTACCAGACTAGGTATCCTGTTTCCCCCAAAATAAGAGACCTCCGGATAATAAGCCCAATTGGGCTTTTGAGCGCATGGCAATAAGGCCAAGCACTTATTTCAGGGTTCAAAAAAATATAAGACAGGATCTTATTTTCGGGGAAACATGGTAACATCATCAGCAGGATTTTCTTGTCCTGTTCTCCTTAGTTTATAAATGTCTTGTCTGCCAGTTTGGTCAGTTGGTTGTATGATTGGTTGTTCGTTTGAAGCTATATTTAAATTCTGAGCAGTTGATTGGTTCTCTTGTTGATCAGTCATTCAAATGGTCTGGTTTCTTATGTAGTCATATGCTCAGCTAGCAAGTCTAGAGAAAAGAAGAACTAGGGGTGACACGATAGCAGTATTCCAGTATTTGAAGGGCTGCCACAAAGAAGAAGGGGTCAACTTATTTTCCAAAGCACAAAAGGACAGGACAGGGAACAATGGTTGGAAACTAATCAAGGAGAGAAGCAACCTCGAATTAAGGAGAAACTTCCTAGCAGTGAGGATAATTAACTAGTGGAACATCTTGCGTTCAGAAGTTGTAGGTGTTTCATCACTGGAGATTTTTAAGAAAAGACTGGACAGTCACCTGTCTGAAATGGGTCTCCTGCTTGACTCCTTCTAGTCCCAGGTTGGACTAGAAGACCTCCAAGGTCCCTTCCAGCTGTATTCTGATTAAGATGGGTGGAGATAAGCGGATGTGGATAGTTGAAGCATCTTTGCGATTGTAAGTTTGAGTAGACTGCCAAGCAGAGGGTGGCAGGTTCTGCAGGTTCTGACCAGTTCTGGAGAACCGGTAGCGGAAATTTTGAGTCGTTTGGAGAACCAGTAGTAAAAACTCTGACTGGCCCCGCACCCATCTATTCTCTGCCTCCCAAGTCCCAGCTGATCGGGAGGAAATGGGGATTTTGCAGTAACCTTTTCCTGGAGTGGGGTGGGAATGGGGATTTTGCAATATCCTTCCCCCAGGAGTGGGGAGGGAATGGGGTTTTTGCAGTATCCTTCCCCTGGAGTGGGGTGGGAATGGAGATTTTACAGTATCCTTCCCCTGCCGTGCCCACCAAACTATGCCACATCCACTAAGCCACACCCACAGAACCGGTAGTAAAAAATTTTGAAACCCACCACTACTGCCAAGTGTCCGCTTTTGTTCATATAATCAAAGTTGCATTGCAACAGCTGTAACTTTGGAGATTTCGGTGGTAACTACCATTTGTTCAATGCCATTGTGACTTTGAATGGTCACTGAACAAATGGTTGTAACTTGAGGACTACGTGTATATAAGGGAACCATACAAAGCAAAATCTTGGATATGCGGAAATCAGAGGGGCACCATTTTCTATGATGAAAGTAACAATTAACTTTTCTTCCCTCCCCCCCCCTTTTTTTTTTTCTTCAAATTAGCTTATGGGCAAGAACATGAGAATAACAAGAAGCTCAGCATGGTGGTATTCCAAATGATAAAATCTGAAGAAGACGTGATTGAAAATCAAGGACCATCACAAAGGAGTAGAAAAAGTGGCATAACGAATGAAGGAAAGCAATTTTCTCCTACTGGTCACAATGAAATCCGGGACCTCCCAATTCAGCAAATTCCCCAACGAGAAGAGGGAACATATCTTAGATGTGCCAAAAGAGACAGAGAAAAATCTGATTTCAGTAAATATTACCCAGTGCAGAATAAAAAGGATGAATATGAAAAGAATGGGCAAAGTATCAGTCCTATCCCCTCTCTTGCTTTATATAACCCATCATACACCAAAGAGACACCATATACATTTATAAATTGTGGGGGAATTTTCAATTTGAACAGTCATCTTATTTCCCATAAAAATGAGGAACCACATGAGAGTGGAAAAGAATTTAATCGGAAACAATTGCATGTTTTACCCCAAAAAAATCCCTCAAGAGAGAAACCCTATAAGTGTCCACAGTGTGAAAAGACTTTCACCCAGAAAGGTAAACTTACCATACATGAAAGAATCCACACGGGGGAGAAAACCTACAAATGTCTGGAGTGTGAAAAGATTTTCACCGAGAGACGTAAGCTTATCATACATGAAAGGATCCACACGGGGGAGAAACCATATATATGCCTGGTGTGCGGACGAAAATTCAATCAGAGCAGCCAACTTAACAGACATCAGCGAACCCACACAGGGGAGAAGCCGTATATGTGCCTGCAGTGTGGAAAGAAATTCAGTGGCAGTTCAAACCTTACGATACATTTAAGGAGACACACGGAGGAGAAACCGTATATATGTTTGGAGTGTGGGAAAAGCTTTCGCGACAACAGCGTCCTTGTTTGCCATAAAAGGATCCACACTGGAGAAAAACCGTACAAATGCGCGGAGTGTGGAAAGAACTTCAGTCAAAACAGTAGCCTCTTGCGCCATAAAAGAATTCACACAGGAGAGAAACCGTATCAATGCCTGGAGTGCGGAAAGAGCTTCCGTCAGAAAAGCAGCCTTTTGCAACATAGAAGAATGCACACAGGGGAGAAACCCTATACGTGCCTGGAATGTGGGAAGAGCTTCAATCAGAACAGTCATTTTATTTGCCATAAAAGAGTTCACACGGGAGAAAAACCATACAAATGCATGGAGTGTGGAAAAGATTTCAGCCAGAACAGTAGCCTTTTGCAACATAAAAGAATTCACACTGGAGAGAATCCATACAAATGCGCCGAGTGTGGAAAAAGCTTCAGTAAAAACTATAAACTCTTGCAGCACAAAAGAATTCACACGGGGGAGAAACCGTACAAGTGCAAAGAATGTGGGAAGAGCTTCAGCTGCAGCAGTTATTTTATCTGTCATAAAAGGATTCACACGGGAGAAAAACCATATAAATGTCTGGAGTGCGGAAAGGGTTTTAATAAAAGCAGCCGTCTAACATCTCATAAAAGAAAGCACACGGGAGAGAAGCCATATCAATGCACAGAGTGCGGAAAGAGATTTTCTTATAATTTTGTCCTCCGATACCATCAACGAACGCATACTGGGGAAAAACCATATACCTGCCTGATTTGTGAAAAGAAGTTCAGCGGACGTTCAAACCTTAGAATCCATATAAGAATCCACACGGGAGAGAAACCACATAAGTGTACAGAATGCGGAAAGAGCTTCCGTAAGGACAGTAACTTTATTTGCCATAAAAGGATCCACACGGGAGAAAAACCGTACAAATGCACAGAGTGCAAAAAGAGCTTCACTCAGAACGCGAACCTTATCAAACACAAAAGAATTCACACGGGAGAGAAACCCTACAAATGCGCGGTTTGTGAAAAAAGCTTCAGCCAGAAAAATCACCTTTCTCAACATGAACAGACCCACAAAAGAAAAAAATCATAATTCGGGAGCTTTGGTTCCAAGTGGTTTTTTTTTTTTCCTTTCAAAAAGAACCTTGTGGGAGGAATAGAAATATGTGTACTGTAGAGCAATGTTCGGTTAGAGAGTAGCCTTATCAGACCTAAAGGAATCCATGTGGGAGAACCAGGAAAATACCTGAAGCGTGGGAAAAGATGCAAAAGAGGCACTGCCCTCGATTCCCATAAGAGGTGTTTTGTTTTTGTGAGAATTGCTGGAACTGCAGAGAGATTTTCAATACCAGCTCCGGCTTCAGTGGTGGATTGCTATTGGTTCGCTCTGGATTGGGCAAACCTGTAGTGGCGGGAGGCTCCGCCCACCTGCCTGGACACTTCTGCACATGCACAGAAGCATCGCAAGCACGCACATGCCCACAAGAGAACCGGTAGTGATGGGTTTTGAAACCCGCTCCTGTCTGGCTTCTGTTTTTAAGAGAAATTACAGGCGCAAACTCACATAAAGATAAATATGTGCATTTAAAGTAAGCTACATGGAGTTTAAATGTGCGGTGTGTAGAAGGAGGTGATTCATTTAAGAGAAAACAAGGATATGGCCAAGAATTTTTTTTTACAAAGATCTACAATGGTAGATTCCAAAGTGGTTCCATTCGAGAGAGAAACGAAACGGACACAGAAAGGCTGAAATTTCTTCAAGGTGACCCTGAGGAAAGGCAGCTTCCTTTCCAATACTTGAAAATGAATCGGAATCATTGCCAACATTTCTTTTTCCCAGATGTCTTTGCCTGTTATAAAGAAGGTGGCTGCCTCGGGGTTCTTCAGTTCTGAGGTAAATGCACCTGTGGGTAAACAGTAGGAAAAATAGATCTCTTTCCTGCAACCACCCCTTCACTATAAATCAGTTTCTGTTTTCCAGACCATCCCTTTGGGCAACGCTAGGGTCGTCTTCTGGTTGTCTCTAGAATTCTCTTTCTTGGCCATCTCCTCTAGAACTTCTAGGGTTCCTCTTAGCCTTTCAGCAGCTCCTCTGTCCCTGGGATTCTGCAGCCTCCTGGGAGACCACTGGGCTGCCTTTCCCTCATGACTCCTTTCTTCCTGGAGCCCAATGGCAGACTGTTCAGTGCACTTCATCTGGCACTTTCAGAGTTACAGGCCTTTCCGAGGTCTCCTTTTCCCCTTTTTCCTCGGGCTCCACAGCTTCCTGAATGATCTCTTTTGGTTTGGTTTGGGTGTGGGGAGTAAATCTGATTCTGCCACTTCTTCTGTCCTGGAGCCGGCTCAGGAGTGAAATGCTACCAGTTTGGGCCGGTTCGCCTGAACCAGTAGTAAAAAAGGTTACTGGTTCACCGAACCGGAAGTAAAAAAGCTGAGCGATGCACGATCGTCGGAACTTTTTTTATTATTATTTTTTAAAACATTTTTAACTACCGGTTCCAGAGAACCGGTAGTAAAAAAAATGCTTAAAAAGTTTTTTTAAAAAAGTTCCGACAATTGTGCGTCGCTCAGCTGATCTTTGGAACTTTTTTTTTTTTACTTTTTAAGCATTTTTTTACTACCGGTTCTCTGGTGGTAAAGTGTGTGGCGTAAAGTTCTCCGGTAGTAAAGTGTGCAGTAGTAAAGGTGTGGCGCACGAGCTTGGGAACCTTTCTTTTAACTTTTTTAAAGTATTTTTTACTACCGGTTCTCCGGAACCAATAGTTTAAAATGCTTTTAAAAAGTAAAAACAAAAAAAGATTCCGACGATTGTGTGCCAGAGCTGTGATCGTCGGAACCTCTTTTTTACCTTTTAAAAGCATTTTTAATTTTAGCATTTTCCAGAGAACCGGTAGTAAAAAATGCTTTTAAAAAGTTTTTAAAAAGGTTCCCAAGCTCGCGCGCCCCTCGCTGTCTACTTACCTTCCCAAGCCTCCTTTTGGCGCGTACTGCACATGCACAGCCAGCAAATCGGTGGCAAACCGGTTCAGATTTCACCACTGAGCCAGCTGAGTATTTGCCAGTTCTGATGTCTGCACCGTAGATTTCTCTCCCTATTTTTTCTACTGGCAACTTTGGGGGGTTTTTCTCTCTTGGATGTATGTCTTTGCATCTCTTCTCAGCTTGGTCCTCCTCAAGGATCATAACAACTAGATAGTCATGCACAATAGTAAACCTCCCCTCCCCTTTCCTCTTCCCCCCACTGAATGGATAGATTGACCTTCACCGTCTTTGCCTTTTGGGCCAGCTGGCGCCTTTTAATCAGTGAGGAGTGAATGTTATGTTTCTCATCTGTTCACCCAACAAGCAAAGCCATAATACGAGTAGAATTTGAATTTGATGCACATAAAAAGAGAGAAGGGTGGATTGCGCCATTGTGGATATCATTTTGACCCCCACTGACATTTATTGGAGGTGAATTTGAATTCATACATTATGTTCACAGCAGTATAACTTGATCTTTTTAATTATTTCTTTTCTTCCAGCCTGCACCACTGATGTTCCAGGTGATCCAAGTTCTGGTGGTCCAGATTACCTTCCGAGATCTGTCTGGGTTGGTAACTGCTGCTACTTGTTGAGGCTTAAATGTATATTCAGAAAAATGTTCTATAAGAAAAAGTATTGATAAAGAAAATGTGTTGAATGGAACACCCGAAAGGAGGAGAAAAGATTGAAAGAGCCTCCAAGAGGAATGCTGTCATAGAAGCATGGAGTCAAGGGCATGAAGTTGCAATGGTGGTGTTGGGTTTGTTCAGGAAATGTGAAAAGAATGAACCTGGGAAACCTGAAACCACAAAGTGAAGAGGGACCAGGTTGAACTAAATGAACTGAATCATACCAGTAAGGGCCAGTTCAAATCCAGTGCTTATGAGAAACACTGTTCAAAGCATGAGATCATCCAAACCAATATGGTGGCCATTCAGAGAGGATCCTGCTGACTCTGTCCATAATTTATTAAATAATGGATTTGTCTGGCATCACTTTTCATCCAGTCAAAGAGATGCCATCAACACCTCAGATAGGTGGCTGTTTTCCCATTTTTCTTTGATGTTCCCCAATCTGGCTTTCCCCAATCAGGGTTCCTATGCTCCCCAACTTCTATTATTAATTGATTGATTGATCGATTAATCATATGTATATAACTTGCCAAAAGTGACTCTGGGCAGCACACAGCAAAAAATAAAACAACTACTTTAATACCACTTTATAATGCCTTGGGAAGGCCACACTTCGACTACTGCATCCAGATTTGGTCCTCACGATATAAAAAAGATGTCTAGTCCCTAGAAAGAGTGCAGAGAAGAGCAACAAAGATGATTAGGGGACTGGAGGTTAAAACATGAAGAATGGTTTCAGGAACTGGGTATGTCTAGTTTAATGAAGGACTGGGGAGACACTTGTTCCGCAGGTTGAGGCAAAGAGGCAGTCCCAGAACCAGTAAAATCTGGGGCCTGGGCAGGGGACAGAATGTATCTGCCCTCAGTGTGGAAGGGATTGCCACTCTCGAATTGGCCTTTTTAGTCACACTAGATGCTGTTTTAGGACCTCTTTCCAGAGCACGATACCATAGTCTCTTGAGACTGAAGGATGCCAATGTGGGGAGACATGATTCCAATATCTTAGGGGTTGGCACAAAGGAGGAGTCACATTCTTCTCCAAAGCACCTGAGGGCAGGACAAGAAGCAAGGGGTGGAAACTAATTAAGGAGAGAAACAACCTAGAACTAAGAAATTTCCTGACAGAACAATTAATCAGTGGAACAACTTGCCTCCAGAAGTTGTGAATGCTCCAACACTGGAAGTTTTTAAGAAGAGATTGGTCAACCATTTGTCTGAAATGGTATAGGATTTCCTGCCTAAGCAGGGAGTTGGACTAGAAGACTTCCAAGATCCCTTCCAACTCTGTTATTCTATTCTGTTCTAAAGAACACCAATATGAAATATTTTAAAAATCTAAAAAACCTACAGCAATACATATCATCAAAACAAAATAAGTGGAGGATGGATAAAAATGGCCCCCACAGCAATGGAGCCATAGGGACAAATCTCTGGTTCGCTGGGAGGTCCAGGCCTTGCAGTATAAGCAAGACTTGAGGGCCTTTCAAGAAATGAAATCAAGTGTTGGGGGAGGATGTTCCACACCGTAGCAGAGAAGGCATGTTTCTTGGGTCTCGGCAGATGCAGGTTCCAACTGATAGCCTTCTCTGCAAAATCTAATGGGCCAGCCTGATGTAACTGAGGACACAGTCTCTCAGTGGAGTGGAGTTGTGAGCGCGCCAGCCCACCACTCACACAGCCCAGTTGCGGATAGGCCGTGGCCCAGTAGTGGGCCACAGTTTAGTGGTTAAGACACCAGGTAAGAAAGCAGGAGACAGTTCTGCCTTAGCTATTAAAGCCACGTAGGCAGTGATGGGATTCAACCCGTGTAACAACCGGTTCGCTTTGCAAACACCCAAACGAGTGATCCGCGCGCATACGGTACATTTGAAAACAGCACCTTCTACTGCAGCTCCAGTGAATAAAACAGCTGAGGTGCGGCAATCTGCGCCGAACAGCACAACTTCGAACAAAGGAGATAAAGGTAGGTATAGTGTAGGGGTGAGCGAACAGGCCCAGCTGATTGTTGGAGTGAACCAGTTTGGTCTCAGCTGATTGTCAGAGCTACCGGTATGCCGAACCGGCAGAATCCCATCCCTGCATGTAGGTGACTTTGGGTCAGTCATTCTCAGCCCAACCCACCTCACAGGGTTGTTGTGAGGAAAATGGGAGGAAGGTGTGTGGGATATGTTCGCTGTCTTCAATGTTTGTAAAAATAAAGGGATACAGATTAAATAAATCGGCACATGACATCTTGTGTAGATTTCTGTCACATTTTTTTTAAATCCATGGCATTGCATTGAGCAGTTCTTTGATGAGCCTCCAATTTTGTGGGCATCCCAGACAAAGGTTTTGACAGCTGTTCTTTGATCCAGTGGATGCCTAAAAGCACCTTCTGTGATTTTTATTGGTGTTCCGAAGATGCTAAAATTAAAGTTTGATTTCACAATTGCTTTGAGCTGGTTTCCAGATTATTATGGGAACAGTTTGGGGCTGAGTGCAAGAAGTTGATATTTTAACAAGGAAAAAAAAAAGCCCCATAGGTGAAATGTGTAATTAATCCCTTTTCCGCTGATGTGAATCAGTTGTCAAGCATCAAGTATTAGCTGGCCATAAGTCCCTTTTTCAAATACCGTGGTAAGTTCGAATGGTCACTAAACAAACGCTTGTAGATCAAGGGTTACCTGTACAAAGAGGAGAGGAGGTGTGAGTTCAATTGTCTGGAATACTACACATCCTCTTCACAGCCTGTTTTCCTTGTTACCTTCTTCGAGGCGGCTTCGTGGTATCCAGAGCAGAACATCCAGATTCAGTCACAGTTGTGTTCCATATAGCAGCAACCTTGCGAACTATCAAGCTTCCTCTTTCCGCTACGTATTCAAAATGGACGGTGATTAACATATATACACACATAACATCTTACGTATATATACGTACATAACATCTATACCAGTGATGGCTAAACTTTTTGCTATCGCGTGCCAAAAGTGGGGGGAGCATGGTGGGGTCACACACACGCGTGCCCACATCCATAATTCTATGCCCACCCTGTGCTCTCCCCGCTTTTGGCACCGTGGGCCCGGTAGGCCCGTTTTTTGCTCTCCCCAGGCTCCAGAGCCTTTCTAGGAGCCTGGGGAGGGCAAAAACGGCCCAGTTCCCCACCCCCTCAGAGGCCCTCCCAAGGCCGGAAACAGTGTGTTTCCTGGTGTCTGGTGGGCCCAGAAAGCCCAAAAATCAGCTGGCCGGCGCATGCATGTATGCCAGAGCTAAGCTCGCGTGCCCATCGATATGGTTCCATGTGCCACCTGTGGTACCCGTGCCATAGGTTCGCAATCACGGATCTATACATATACGTGTATTTATACGTGCGTGTGTGTATAGATGTGTATGTATGTGTGTATAGGGTGCAGGTATATTGTTCTTGTGCCATATCCGTCATCGGATATTGGCGATCATGTTGACAATCCTATTTTTATCAACAGCTGCATGAAAAAATGCTGCTGAGTTTTGTCCAAACCAGTCCCTTAGATTTTGAAGCCATGTTTTTCTTCTCCCTGGACTTAGTTTGCCATCAATCTTTCCCTGGAGGATTAAGTTGAAGTATGCCGTATTTTTCTGGGTGTTGCATCACATGTCCAAAATAGTCTAACTTGCGCTTTTTTAATGATTTTGATGATTTCCCTTTGCTTTCCAAGGCGGCTTATCACCACCTCATTTCTGATTTTGTCAACCCACCTTATACATAACAGCTATCTATAAATCCACATTTCAAATGCTTCTAGTTTTTTCAAGTGGCTTTCTGTCAGAGACCAACTCTCCACTCCGTAGAGCAGGATAGAAAAGATGTAACATCTGACAGGCCAGGTTTTCAATCTTAGGCTTATGTCGTGACTGCAGAAGACCTTTTTCATTTTGAAGAATGCTGTTCGAGCTTTCTCTATCCTTGTCTTTACTTCAGTGATCATGTCCCAGCTTTCATATAAATGCAGATATATATAAATAGAATAGAATTTTTTATTGGCCAAGTGTGATTGGACACACAAGGAATTTGTCTTGGTGCATATGCTCTCAGTGTACATAAAAGAAAAGATACGTTCATCAAGAATCATAAGGTACAACACTTAATGATAGTCATAGGGAACAAATAAGCAATCAACAATCAGGAAACAATATCAATATAAATCGTAAGGATTAGTGGTGGGTTCCTCCCGGTTCCGCCTGGTTCCGCCGAGCCAGTAGCGGTGACGGTATGACGCCACAGAATCGGTTCTGCACCCACCCACCCACCCCCGGCATTATTCTTACCTTTTATTTGGCCCCACCCCCAATCTATTGCTGCCTCCCAAGTCCCAGCTGATGGGCTATAAGGAAAAACTGTTTAAACTCTTGCCGCAGGGCTTCAAAGGGCCGCCCTACAGCTGATCAGTGGTAAAAGGCAGTTTGGTGGTAGACCAGTGCCTCCAAAAACAAATGAGTAGACCAGTGCCTGCAAAAATAAATGGGTAGACTGGTACAGCTCTGCAAGCAGTTAAAAGCCTGGTAGACCAGTACCTCTGCTAAATCCTAAAGAATTGTCGCATGACCATCAAGCCACGCCCACAAAATAAGCCACACCCATAGAACCGGTAGTAAAAAATCTTAGAACCCACCTCTGGTAAGGATATAAGCAAAGTTACAGTCATAGTCATAGTAAGCCTGGATAGCTCAGCAGACTAATGCATTGTAATTTAACTCCAGCTGTCTGCAATTAGTAAATTCAAATCTTGCCAGGCTCAAGGTTGACTCAGCCTTCCATCCTTTCTAAGGTAGGTAAATTGAGGACCCAGTTTGTGGGGGCAATAAATATAGTATGAAGACTATTGCTTAACGCACTGTAAGCCGCCCTGAGTCTCCGGAGAAGGGTGGCATATAAATCAAATTAAAAAAAAAAAAAAGTGGGAAGAGATGGGTGATAGGAACGATGAGAAGATTAATAGTAATTCAATCTTAGTAAATAGTTTGACAGTGTTGAGGGAACTTTTCTTTTCCATCAAGCAGGGCTGGCGTGAAACCACCCCCCCACTTTTTTTTTTTTTAGTTTTTTAGCTTTTTAAATTGTCAAAGGGGTTTTAGTTTTCAATGTTTTAAATTTTTGGGCCACAGTTATTTAACTCTTTTAATAATTTTAAATTTTGTATTGATATGTGTTTTAGTTCTGGCTGCGCACCGCCCTGAGTCCACTTGGAGAAGGGCGGGATATAAATTGAATAAATAATAATAATAATAATAATAATAATAATAATAATAATAATAATAATAATAATAATTATTATTATTATTATTATTATTATTATTTTATTCCTATACCGCCCTTCTCCCGAAGGACTCAGGGCGGTGTACAGCCTATTTAAAAACAAGATAAACATCAATTTAAAATAATTTTAAAAATATTAAATAAATTTGGCTTAATTTAAAACCCCCCAAATTTAAAACATCATAAAATCATTTGTTTAGCAGGGTGATGGCGTTTGGGGAACAAAACTGTCCTTGTGTCGAGTTGTTCCGGTGGGCAGTGCTCTATAGCGTCGTTTTGAGGGTAGGAGCTGAAACAATTTATATGTATGCATATATAGCATGTGTTATGTATGTGTTTATAAATATATGTATGCATATATGGCATGTGTTATGTATGTGTTCATATATATATATATATGTGTGTGTGTGTGTGTGTATATGTATGTATGTGTATATATATATATATGTATGTATGTATGTGTGTGTGTGTGTGTGTGTGTGTGTATATATATATATGTGTAGGTCTTTGGTTATTCGGGTCTTCTCCCACGTAAAATTGGAAGTGTCTTGGCGACGTTTCGACGAAGTCTCATTCGTCATCTTCAGGCTGGTGTTCTCGGCTTTGTGCTTCCAGGGGCAAAGCCGAGAACACCAGCCTGAAGATGACGAATGAGACTTCGTAGAAACGTCGCCAAGACACTTCCAATTTTACGTGGGAGAAGACCCGAATAACCAAAGACCTACATACAAACACCCGCGAAAACCTGAGAAAACATATATATATATATATATATATATATATACACACGCACGCACGCGCGCGCACACACACACACACACACACACGTGTTATGTATGTGTTTGGGTATATGTACACTTTCTCTCCATAGCAGGCAGCAGAATTTCATTTTTAATGTGGGCCAGTGGGGAAAAAAATAATAATATCAATAACAAGTTATCTTCTGATACCACAGTAGCCCCCACGCCATTCCCTGGACCCTTTTCCTCTGGGTCGGAGGGAGCACAGGAGAGCTTCCGTCAGCAGTTTCCCCCCCTGAAACAAAGGGGCGGGGAGGGGTGGTCGCCGGGGACCTTTCAAAGGAGGGGGAGGGTCGAGAAGGCTGTCGGAGCTTCGTCTCTCTAGGAAGAAGCGCTCTCGCTCTCTTCGCCTCGGGTCCCGGGAGGGGGGCGGAGACGTTCCTGGTGAGCAGCGGATCCCCGGGAATCGGTTACAGCGACCGGATCGAAGGGCGATCCCGCTTTTCCCGGGAAGGGAAAAGGGGAATCCGGAGCGGCTGGGCAGGAGAGGAGAGGAGAGGAGAGAGGCGCGGCGGGGGCAGCCCCATTGCCTGGCGGAGGAGGAGGAGGAGGAGAAGGAAGCCCGGGCCGGAGCCAGACGTGCGGGAGAGCCACCCCGAGGATCCGCCGGGCTCAGAGGCCGAGCTCTTCCGCCGCTTTGGGCTGCCGGGCGTCGGCGGAACCCCGGGCGGTCTGCAGCGGCTTCGCCCCAGCTGGGAGGAGCCCGAGCTCCCGGGGTGGGTGTGTGTGTGTGTGTGTGTGTGTGGGTGGGTGGGTGGGTGGGTGGAGGATCCCGGCAGGCTGGCTGCTGCGGGAGGGCCGGGTGGAGAGACTCAGGAGACTGCAGGCGAGCGGATCTCCTCCCGTGGGGATCTCCTCGTGGCGTCCTTTCCTTTTAACTAGCCGTCCACCTCATAACGCAGGTGGCAGGTAGCAATAGAAGAGGCTTTGGATTCCCTCCACTTTCCGTCCCAGAGTCCCGTTTCCCCGTTTATTCCACAGCAAGAAGGGAAACCCCCAAGGGGAATTCCCATCTCCAACTCTGGTTATAATAACAGTCCAGCTTTGGAGACCCAAATGCAAGTTGTAACAATAGAAGAGATTTTGGTTACCCTCCATTTTATATAGTTTTTTTCTATATATATATTTTAATATGGTTTCCCCCCCTCCCCATGCCATCACTCTGCTTAACAACTAATTCCCGCGCTGTCAAATAATTTACTAAGACTGTATTACTATTCTTCATTCTCTTCCTTACTAGTATCTATCTCTATCACCATGTCGCCTGTATCTTTCAATTTATATTGTTTTTGTTTCCTTAGTACCATTTGATAGTTTATTAGTAACCTTGACTATCACTAAGTGTTCTATCTTTTTATTCGTGATGAATGTATTTTATTCTCCTTTTGAATACTGAGAGTATATGCACCTAAGACAAATTCCTTGTGTGTCCAATCACATTTGGCCAATAAAGAATTCTATTCTATTTTTTTTTTTAATTTGATTTATATGCCGCCCTTCTCCGAAGACTCAGGGCGGCTTACAATGCGTTAAGCAATAGCCTTCATACTTTTGTATATTTATACAAAGTCAGCTTATTGCCCCCACAAACTGGGTCCTCAATTTACCTACCTTAGAAAGGATGGAAGGCTGAGTCAACCTTGAGCCTGGTGAGATTTGAACTTGCAGTAATTGCAGGCAGCTGATGTTAATAACAGTGCTTTAGTCTGCTGCACTACCAGGGATCCTACTATCCTATTCCTATTCCTATTCCTTTCTATTCTATTCTATTCTATCCTACTCTACTCTACTCTACTAGTCTAGTCTAGTCTAGTCTAGTCTAGTCTAGTGTAGTCTAGACTAGTGTAGTCTAGACTAGTCTATTCCTATTCCTTTCTATTCTATTCTACTCTACTCTACTCGTCTATTCTAGTCTATTCCTATTCCTATTCCTTTTTTTCCTATTCTATTCCTATTCCTATTCCTATTCCTATTCCTATCCTTATTCTTATTCCTATCCTTATTCTTATTCCTATCCTTATTCTTATTCTTATTCTATTTTCAGTCCCACAGTTCTCTTTCCCCACCTAGATTATTCCAAAGGAGGAAAAGGGAATCCCAAGGGAATCTCTCTTGATTTTATGATTTTATGGTTGGTTTTAAATTTTGATATGGATTTTAAATTGATAAATTTTAAACTATGGGCCAAATTTAATTATTTTAAATCTATTTTTAATCGTATTTATGTATAAATGTTTTTATTTTGGCTGTTCACCGCCCTGAGTCCGAAAGGAGAAGGGCGGTATAGAAATTCGAATAATAAATAATAATAAATAAATAAATCACCAGCTATGGATATAACACAGTCCAGCTTTGGAGACACAAAAGAATCCCCTTATTCCGATGATCATTTTCATTCTTGTTCTTCCTTGACCCTGGCTATGTTTCAAGTTGCAGGGGCAGCCGATGAGGATGGCCACGGTATCTCCTGAAGGCGGAGAAGATCTCTCCGGTTTCTCTATGGAGCAAGTGTTGGAGGATCCCACTCGGGTCTTGTTGCCTGGTAAGTGAAAAATTGTTTCTGCAGGCCGTGAAACCTGAAGTCATTTCATTCTTGCGTTTCTTCTACCCATCATTCCGGCTTTGATTTACGCTGCTTCCCCATCACTGACTCACCCAGCTTCCAAATATTCTTCGTCCGTCTCCTTTTATCTTGATTACAGGGAATTCAACATTGTGGATGGAAACCACTGAAATATCTCCTCCGTCTGGTGGAGCCACAACATTTCAGGTAAGGAGCCTTATTAGAGCAGGAAGTTCTATAGGGGCTTTATTTGTATTGTGAGACTCTACACAGAGCTTATTAAGGAGGTCAGGTGTTGAAATTTAGCTTGATTCTGCTTTCAAGATGATGGTTTAAGCACAAGCTACGGAAGAGGCAGCCTTCCAAGGTAGACCAAATTTTAAACCAAAGGTATAGAAGGTAATACCGCTTTCTTTGTAGGGTTACATTAACAGAATCTTGCAAGTCTGAGTGGACCTGCCCCCTCTCTCCCTTTTTCTTGGAATCAGTTGAGCTTTTAAGTTTTTTATACTTGTAATTGGTTATATTAATTTAGTAATTGGTTACATTAATTAAAAGGTTAATTAATTAAAAGGGATGCGGTGGGTCAGTGGCTAAGACGCTGAGCTTGTCGATCAAAAGGTCGGCAGTTCAACGATTCGAATCCCTAGTGCTGCGTAACGGGGTGGACTCCTGTTACTTGTCCCAGCTTCTGCCAACCTAGCAGTTCGAAAGCACGTAAAAAATGCAAGTAGAAAAATAGGGGCCACCTTTGGTGGGAAGGTAACAGCGTTCCATGCGCCTTTGGCGTTTAGTCACGCTGGCCACATGACCACGGAGACGTCTTTGGACAGTGCTGGCTCTTTGTTTGAAACGGAGATGAGCACCGCCCCCTAGAGTCGGGAACGACTAGCACATATGTGCGAGGGGAACCTTTACCTTTTTTACCTTTACATTAATTTATTTAAGATAAATCCTTTTCTATCCGAAGTATGTGGAAAACCCCAGGAATCAGCTAGTAAGAAATAAAGACAGTTTGGTCTAGTGGTTAACGCATCAGCTAGAAAGTAGGAGACTATGAGTTCTTGTCCTGCTTTAGCCACGAATAGCAGCTGGATGACTTTGGACCAGTGACTCTCTCTCTAAGCCCAATTTACCTCACAGGGCTGTTGTTGTGGGGATAAATAGGAGGAGGAAGGTGTGTTGAATATGTTCGCCACCTTGAGTTATTTATAAAAATAATAAAGGCAAGATATAAATAAATAAAAGCCAGGAATTAGTTTTAACATTACATTTTATTGAAGCATTAGTAAGACAAGTCAGAACAAATGAAAAAAATCAGAGCAGTTAAATTATGGCATATGTCCACGGAGATCCCGTTAAAAGTTATATATGTGCAATATGCAGTTATTTCATCAAAATGGTAGCTTCTGCAAAGAAGAAAAAAACCCAGAAAGTTTTCATCTTTCTGGAGATGTAACGAAGTGTGTCCCACTTCTTCAAAGTCTTCAAGATGACTTTAAAGGGTAAAGGTTTCCCTCGCACATATGTGGTAGTCGTTCCCGACTCTAGGGGGCAGTGTTTCAAAGCCGAAGAGCCAGCGCCGTCCAAAGACATCTCTTTAGTCATGTGGCTGGCATGACTAAACACCAAAGGTGCACGGAACGCTGTTACCTTCCCACCAAAGGGGTTCCTATTTTTCTACTTGCATTTTTTACATGCTTTCGAACTGCTAGGTTGGCAGAAGCTGGGACAAGTAACGGAAGCTCACCTCGTTACACGGCACTAGGGATTGGAACCGCTGAACTGCCGACCTTTCGATCGACAAGCTCAGCATCTTAGCCACTGAACCACTGCATCCCTATTAAGATGACTGTAGTTGGAAGAAATTCTAACCAGGCAAGTGGATTGTCGGAGAGACAGCTATAAAACTCTTGTAGTACATTATGTCAGAAAAGAAGCGTGTTCTGTCTTATCGAACTCACTTTTAGGATATTGGAAATGTGGGAGAGAACGTTCTGGGATTTCTTTTGAGGAACATTTCCTTTGATTTTCAGGGCTCAGTAACATTTGAGGAGGTGGCTGTGTATTTCACGGAGGAGGAGTGGGCGCTGCTGGATCCCAGCCAGAGAGCCTTGCACGAGGAAGTCATGCTGGAGAATTCTAGGAATGTGGCTGCTCTGGGTAAGGACCTGTTTTGCTCTGGATTCGGGTATTTGTGGAAAGTCTTTGGTTGCCATAAGTGCTCAGAAAGACATTCTGGGGCTTCTTGTTTGAAGACTAAAAGTAAATGGAGTGGTGAATCTTGATGGTTTCCAGGCTCCCACGATCCTTGCGCAAATTCTCAGCACTCCATTCCACCCTTCCCTCCCCCCAGTTCATTGGCAAGTTAAATAGCGATAAAGGTGGTTCAGTCTTGACACCAATACTGATTGTTGGCACATGAGCTGGGTTGAACTGTGGCTGGTAAACAATTTTATTCTGAGTCTAACCTTTAGAAGAACTTCTTCTAAGCCACCTCTTCCCAGTTCTTATCTTTACCAGGAAAACTCGATTTCAGTTTGTGTTTCTACCAGGAGATTCTCAGAGATTTCTTTATGTTTGGAGGTGATAGTCACATTAGTAGAGATAGTCTAGTGCAGTGATGGCGAACCTTTTAGAGCCCGAGTGCCCAAACTGCAACCCAAAAACCACTTATTCATCGCAAAGTGCCAACACGGCAATTTAACCTGAATAATGAGGTTTTCCTACCTAAAATAATGAGAAACAACGCAGAGTTCAGCTAATTGTTCTAAGAAAAATGCGATAAATGCACTTTTATGCCCCCTTTTTTCCCGTTTTTGAAATATTACTTTTAGCAACAATACCATTTCTCTCTTTCCTTCCCTCTCTCTTTCCCTCTCTCTTTCCCTCTCTTTCCCTTCCTATCTTTCTCTCTCTCTCTTCCCCCTCTTTCTCTCTTCCCTCTTTTCCTCCCTCCCTCTTTCCCTCTTTCTCTCTTCCCCCTCTTTCCCTCTTCCCTCTTTGCCTCCCTCCCTCCCTTTCCCTCCCTCTTTCTCTCTCTCTCTTTCCCCTCTCTTTCTTTCCCTCTCTCTTTCTCTCTCTTTCCCTTTCCCTTCCTATCTTTCTCTCTCTCTTCCCCCTCTTTCTCTCTTCCCTCTCTCTTTTCCTCCCTCCCTCTTTCCCTCTTTCCCCTCTCTTTTTCTCTCTTCCCTCTCTTTGCCTCCCTCCCTCCCTTTCCCTCCCTCTTTCTCTCTCTCTTCCCCCTCTCTTTCTTTCTCTCTTTCCCTCTTTCCCTTCCTATCTTTCTCTCTCTCTCTTCCCCCTCTTTCTCTCTCTTCCCTCTCTTTTCCTCCCTCCCTTTCCCTCCCTTTCTCTCTTCCCCCTCTTTCTCTCTCTTCCCTCTCTTTTCCTCCCTCCCTCCCTTTTCCTCCCTCTCTTTCTCTCTCTCTCTTCCCCCTCTCTCTTTCTTTCCCTCTCTTTCTTCCCCTCCCTTTCTCTTTCCCTCTCTCTTTCCTTCCCTCTCCCCCCCCCGCGGGAGAAACATGATGGAGCTGAGCTGGGGCGATGGCACACGTGCCCAGAGAGAGTGCCACCTCTGGCAGGTGTGGCATAGGTTCTCCACCACTGGTCTAGTGATTATAAAGATAGCCATTACTCTACTTTCAAATGCCCTCATGAATTTAGGCCAAGTATATCAGTATATAATGTAAGTGTGAAGTTTCCGAAAGATGCTTTCAAGTTGCCAGTAAGACATTTTTGAAGGCTCCATTATAGCCGTAACTCAAGGACTCTGTACAATGTAGGGTATTTTCAAAACTTGTGTTTGCTGTTAAGCATCAGTTGAAAGGCCCGCAATTCCTTCTTACATTTTGTTCTTCACACCCCATGGTCCTGATTATTCAGCCTTCAGATAATAAAAGAATAGTTTTTTTCCAAGGAAAAAAAACCAGAAATACCCCAGGAAAATAAGTGTAGAATTGTCCAAAGGGATATAATGACTGAGGTTAAATTAAAGCTTTAGGCAGACAAAGAGGAACCCAGCAAAATCTTGGAAATTGATAATGGATCTAACATCTTTCTGTGTTAAAAAAAAATTAAATATAATTAATAATTGACCAAAATAATTAATGTGCTAAAGTGACTGGCAAAGGGTAGAGACAGGTGTGGATCATAACACCTGCAAAAGCTGTAACTTTGGGAATTAAATATTCATCAAACACCACTGTTAAGTTTCAGTGGTGGCTAAATGAATAATTGCAGCTTTTTTTTTATTTATTTTTTTAATTTGATTTATATGCCGCCCTTCTCCGGAGACTCAGGGCGGCTTACAATGCGTTAAGCAATAGCCTTCATACTTTTGTATATTTACTTGGGGGAATACCTGTATGTAAGAAAAACATACAAAGAACACAATCCAGGTAATGTGCAAAAATAACAGGTGAACATTTTTCTGCGATGAAAATAACGAACTTTTTTTTTCTTTTTTCAAATAAGCTTATGGGCAGGCGCATGAGAATAACAAGGAGCCAAGCCTAGCGCTCTTTCAAGGGATCCAGTCTGAAAACGGGATGGTTGGAAATCGGGGAGCAGCTCCAAAGAGTGCGAAAAGCTGTCTAAGAAACGGAAGGAAGAAATCTTCTTCTAGTCACAAGGAAGTCCTCCCAACCCAGCAACTTCAGCAACGGGAAGAAGTTGGAAAACATTTCGGATATGGCAAAACAGACAAAGCAAAATCTGCTTTTGGTAAATATCATACGAACCAAATTGAAGAGAAACATTGTGAACTTCAAGAGTATCGGCAAAATATCAACCTTAGCTCCTCTCTTTTACATCACCCACCATACATCCCAGAGACAACATATGCACTTATAAATTGTGGGGGGAAATTCACTTTGAACAGTCATTTTAGGCCCCATAAAGAGGAGAATCCTTATGAGTGCGAAAAGGGTGCAGGCCAGAAACAGTTGCTTATTTTACCCCCAGAAAATCCCCCAATGGAAAAACGATATAAATGTCCAGAGTGTGGAAAGACTTTCACTCACAAATGTAAGCTTACTGTCCATGAACGGACCCACACAGGGGAGAAACCGTATACGTGTCTGGTATGTGGAAGACAATTCAGTCAGACTGGTCACCTTACCAGACATCAACGAACCCACACGGGGGAAAAACCATATTCGTGCCTGCAGTGTGGAAGGAAGTACAGTGGAAGTTCCAGCCTTGTCAAGCATGTAAGGAGCCACACGGGGGAGAAACCATATAAATGTACAGAGTGCGACAAGAGCTTCAATCAGAGCAGTCACTATATTCGCCATAAAATGATCCACACAGGTGAAAAACCCTATAAGTGCCTGGAATGCGGGAAGAGCTTCGGGCGTAACTTTAGCCTTATGCAACATAAAAGGACTCACACCGGGGAGAAACCGTACCAATGCCTGGTATGTGGAAAGAGTTTCAGTGGATCCTCGGATCTCATGTATCATAAGAGGATTCATACAGGGGAGCGACCGTATAAATGCCTGGAGTGCGGAAAGCGATTCAGTAGGAGAAGTCGCCTTACAGCTCACAAAAGAAAGCATACAGGACAGAAACCGTATGTATGCCTGGTGTGTGGAAGGAGATTCAGTCAGAGCGGGCACCTTACAAGTCATAAAAGAACCCACACCGGGGAGAAACCATACGCGTGTTTGAAATGCGGAAGGAAGTTCAGTCGAAGATCAAGCCTTGTGATACATGTGAGAATCCACACAGGGGAGAGCCCATATAAATGTACAGAGTGCGGGAAGGGCTTCCGTCAGAGAACTACCTATATTTACCATCGAAGGATCCACACGGGAGAAAAACCCTTCAAATGCCTGGAGTGTGGGAAGAACTTCAGGCGAAACTGTCACCTTAAGAAACATAAAAGGATGCACACTGGGAAGAAATTGTATCAGTGCTAGGACTGTGAAAAGAACCTCAGCTTTCACTCAGATGTGGCTTATCATAGAAGTACAGGTAGTCCTCAATTTATAGCGGTTCATTTAGTGACCGTTCAGAGATACAACGGATACTACAAAAAAGAGACCCATATGTGAAATACTGAAGTGATGATGACTGGAGTGAAATTCAGTTTGAAATGCCATCTCGTCGAACCTGAATAAATCCACATGGAAGAACCGTAAAAATGCCTGAAGTGTGCAAATGGGTTAAAACAGGGCACTGCCTTTGTTTCCCATAGGAGGTCCTATGAGCGTAAATGAACTTTTGGTACCAGTATTTCCCCCCCTTCCCCCCCCCACAAGAAAATACATACATATCGGAGTTTGGTTGATCGTCAGGAATGCTAAACCTGCGGACTGAACAGCTGATCCATGCAGGAGAGAGAATATATCAAGAAATGAAGCAAAGCCACTATTTAAGAGGACGTGTCTTAAAGTTCCACTTAGGAGAGAAACTGTATAAAAGAGTGGAAAATGGAAAGAGTTGGTGTTTTTTATTTCATAAATCTTCACCAACAAATTATTAGCACCTCTCCACATTGTTAGGCCAATCTTGAATATTTTTCTTGATGTAATCTGGGACTGTCCTATGAGAGGCTGATAGCAATAGCACTTAGACTTATATACTGCTTCACAGTGCTTTTACAGCCCTCTCTAAGCAGTTTACAAAGTCAGCCTCTTGCCCCCAACAATCTGGGTCCTCATTTTACCCGCCTCGGAAGGACAGAAGGCTGAGTCAACCTTGAGCCCAGTAAGATTTGAACTGCCGAACTGCAACTAGCAGTCATCTTAAGTAGGATGAGGATTATATGGTAGGTCAGGGTTCAAGTCCCATGAAAACAGAATGAGGCTGATGGAAATGTTTAGCCTTGTAAAAAAAAAAAAAAAGGCAAGAAGTATTTAATATCTGTGTCGAAGCATTTGATGCGATGCCCCATAGATGAAAGGTTTGTCCTGCAGTGCAGAATAAATATAGTAGAATCAGGTTTAATGTTACAAAAATATGATAGTGATGAAACTCTCAAAACACTCAATAACTACCTCTGCTGACCCCTCTCCCTTAATAAATACAGGAAAACGTTTTTTCCTCTCTACAAATCCCCGTTTTATGCAACTTTGTACAAATTTACTATGGTGCTTGTTCTTTAATTTCACAATAAAATATTTGAGCTTTTCTAAGGACTGTGGTAGTACTTGCTTAGCAACTCTTTGAATTTATTTATTTTTTATAATTTTTATTAATATATTCTATACACCAATACACCAATAAAATATACAATCCTGCCACCATGGTATAATGCGATTATTGTCCATAAATATAAAGTCAGTCCTTTATACATACATATTTGCCATCATATATATACATCATCATATATCTATTCTATCCCACCTTTTCTGCACCCAATCGTACCATAATTTCCAACTGTTATAAAATTCTGAATCTTTACCATTGATCAATCTAGTTAATCTATCTGATTCCGCACACTCATTAATTTATATATTATTTTCAAATCTATCGGTAAGTATTGATTTTTCCACTCCTGCGCATACACTAATCTTGCTGCAGTAATAATGGTACAACTTGCTCATCTTTGCAGGTGGTTCCATGTTCATATGATTTATGTGGTTGTTTTTTTTTTGCTGGGAACTGGACTTTAGTTTCTGGCAAAAAATGCTCATAAAGAATTTTTTTAAATGACTGCGGCATGTGCTTTACAACTGCTGCAAAAAAGATCATAAAATCAGGTTGCTCAGGTGGGTACCTCAATTTATGACTGTTACGACTTAACGTTTACATTTAAAATTCCAGTCTCCATCATGGTCATAAATTGAGGACTATCTATACTTTCTTGGGCTGCTGAAATTGTAAATAAACTTCCCTCTCTTTTTATTTCGCATTTCTAGATAAGAGGCCAGTTGCTTCAAATTAGTGTCGTTTACTCCTCGAAATATGTAAAGGTGGAACATGGAATGTGAAAAAAGTGAACCTTAGGAACTTGCACACACGAAGTGAAAAGGGAACACGCAGAATTTAGGAAACTGAATTGGATCAGGAAAGGCAAATTCAAATCCTGGATTAGGTGAAGTGCCATTCGTAGAATGAGCACCATCCAAAACAATACCGTGGCCGTGTTATTCAGAAAGGATCCTGCTGACTGTCGTTCGTAACTTATCAAATAATGGGTTTGTTTGCCATTTCCCATCCGGTGAAAGCCATGCTGTCACAGGCTTATGCACCAGAGATAAATTCCTTGTCCGTCCACTCACACTTGGCCAAAAGATTAACTGAGTTTGGAAGGGATCTTGGAGATCATCTAGTCCAACCCCCTCCCCAAGCAGGAGACCCTACACCATTCCTGACAGATGGCAGTCCAGTCTCTCCTTGAAAGCTTCCAGTGATGACGCTCCCACAACTTCTGAAGACAACTTCTGTTCCGTTGGTTGATTGTTCTCACTGTCAAAAAATTTTCTTATTTCCAGGTTGAATCTCTCCTTGTTCAGTTCCCATCCATTGTTTCTTGTCCTGCCTTCAGGTGCTTTGGAATATTCCCTCCACTCGATTCTGGGCTTTTTTCTTTCCTGGCAGCCAGCAATTTCCAGTTGCCAGGTGAGAGACTTATATAGATCTATTTCCAGCTCCTTTGCTTTCATCAGTAAGCCACACCCACATCTTATGTATCCTCCCTGTAAAGGTATAGTATCTATTTTCTTACTTCTTCTTAGGATTTATGTGTGTTTTTCCTCTAGCCAGGTTTTTCCTACGTAACCAAGGTTTTTCTGCAGCCCCAGCTCAGTAGAACTAGAAAAAACCTTGGTTACTAGGAAAAACCTGGCTAGAGGAAAAACACACATAAATCCTACGAAGAAGTAAGAAAATATCTATATATCATCTATATCTATATCTATATCTATATCTATATCTATCTATCTATCTATCTATAAAAATTCTGTTCTTTTTTTTTATTGAAAAAGATTTCAAATACAAATTTTTCCCCCATTTTTCTCCCCCCCTCCTCCCTAACCCCCCTCACCTCCCATCCCCCCCTGTGACTTCACAACAAAAACCTAATTCCTAACAGATTATATAATATTTTACCATCCCCTTACTCCCTCCTCTAAATACTGACCCTTACATGCTAATAATATTATTAATATTATTACTTCCCCCTTTTACCATACATTTCAAAATAACATTATATAATAACTTCTAATTTAGCATAATAATATTATTATAACTCCCAATCTAGCAACGCTCTGCCTTTTTTTCTCCTCCCCCATACTTATATATATATAACATTTCAAAGCAGCCTTCCCCATAAATCTTAATTTAACATTTATTCAACTCTATCCATTTCCTCCACTCCCCTAAATATATCACTTAAACATCCCTTTTCTTAAACTAAACAATCAGTAAACTAGCCTATTTCCACCCACTTTCCTACAAAATTGCCATGCACAACAATTCTTAATATCTTTAATCTACTGCCCCCCCCTGCTAAAAAAATATATATTCTGTTCTTGTTCTTCTTCCTGTTCCTTTCTCATTCTACTCCATTCCATATTTTCTGTTCTGTTCCTTTCCCTTCTATTCTATTCGACTCCAATCTATTAAGAATACCAAAATGGGGGTTGGAGTTGCTCCCTACGCGGATTTGGAATCCCTTTAGGCTTCTCCCTCTTAAAAGTTGGTTGGGATCTTCTCCAATCCTTGCAAAGATCTACAAAAGGCGGAGCCCAATCCGCCCGGGCGGGCTTTGCAAAACTTGAGACCGGGGGTGAAGCACGTGCAAGGGGGGGACTCGCTCCCTTTTAAAGGCAGAAAGAAGCGCGCCCTCGCCTTCCCAGAGGCCGAAGTTGCCCCGAAGAAGTCGGAGCGGAGAGCGGGGGACCGATTTGCAGATCCAGACCGCGAGGAAGCGCGATCCCGTTTACCCAGGAAGCCAAGGGAATCCGGAGCGGAGTCGGCCTGGCAGGAGAGGAACGGATTATTCGCTGCGGGTAAGGCTGATGGCCTTGCGGAGGAGATCGGGAGCAGCGCCGGGCCCTCCTGCCGCTCAGCCCTGGGAGGAGAGCTGCTCCCGGGCGGCGGCCCTGGCCGGAAACATCCCGCTCAGTCCCAGGGTCCTCTTTCCCCGCCCAGATTATTCCACGGGAGGGAGAGGGAATCGCAAGGGAATTTGCATCTCCAACTATGGATCTAACAGATTCCAATTTTGGAAAGACAAATGTAAGTTGTAACCATAGAAGAGATTTTTTGGTTTCCCTCCATATTCAGTCCCAGAGTTTTCTTTCCCCGCCCAGGTTATTCCACAGGTGGGAGTGGGAATCCCAAGGGAATTTGCATCTGCAACTATAGATCTAACAGGTTCCAATTTTGAAAAGACAAATGTAAGTTGAAACAATAAATGAGATTTTTTGGTTTCCCTCCATTTTCGGCCTCAAGAGTCCTCTTTCCAGGGAGGGAGAGGGAATCCCAAGGGAATTTGCATCTCCAACTATGGATCTAACAGGTTCCACCTTTGGAAACACAAATGTAAGTTGTAACCATAGAAGAGACTTTAGTTTCCCTCCATATTCAGTCCCAGAGTTTTCTTTTTTTTAAATTTGATTTATATGCCGCCCTTCTCCGGAGATTAAGGGCGGCTTACAATGCATTAAGCAATAGCCTTCATACTTTTGTATATTTTATACAAAGTCAGCTTACTGCCCCCCACAAATTGGGTCCTCAATTTACCTACCTTAGAAAGGATGGAAGGCTGAGTCAACCTTGAGCCTCGGGAGATTCGAACTTACAGTAATTGCAGACAGCTGGTGTTAATCACAATGCTTTTAGTCTGCTGAGCCACCAGGCCCCTCTGGTGCAGGGAAGTTCTCTTTCCCTGCCCAGATTAAACTATCCGTTCAGTCCCAGGGTCCTCTTTCCCCACCCAGATTATTCCACGGGTGGGAGTGGGAATCCCAAGGGAATTTGCATCTCCAACTATAGATCTCACAGGTTCCACCTTTGAAAACAGTTGAAGTTGAAACAATAAATGAGATTTTTTGGTTTCCCTCCATTTTCGGCCTCAAGAGTCCTCTTTCCAGGGAGGGTGAGGGAATCCCAAGGGAATTTGCATCTCCAACTATAGATCTAACAGATTCCAATTTTGGAAAGACAAATGCAAGTTGTAGCAATAGAAGAGACTTTGGTTTCCCTCCTTGTTGAAAGGAAAATCCATCTGGTTCAGTTCCAAGCTGGGAGAAAGAGGCTGGAAATAAAATGGAGGTTGATTGGAAAGAAAACTTAATGAGGAGCAGAACCAACAGCAGTTCTGGGTCACCTGAACCATTAGCTAAATGAGGGCTGGGATTTTATAGAGGTTCCTCAAATGCTGCTGGGGCGGGGGAGAGGTTGTGCACTGTGTGAAATTAGGAAATTGCGATGTAGTGAGCTCTGTGTCTTCTGCTAAATGGTGGTGGGTTAAATGGTCATGTCCTGTTCTTAGAATTTGGGTGAAGGAGAATGTAAATGCTTAATCCCATCACTGGAGGTGAAGGTTTTTTGTTTCTGGCCCCATCTTTCTTAATGGGCACAAAATATCTGCTGTTGGCTATTACAAAATGGTTTCCCTCCCATTTTCTGTCCCAGAGTTCTCTTTCCCCGTCCAGATTTGTCCAAGGGAGAAAGAGGAAATTTGCATTCCAACTATGGAGATAACAGGGCCCACTTTTGGAGACACACATTCAATTTGGAACTATTGAAGATACTTGAGTTTCCCTCCCCTTTCAGTCCCAGAGTTCTCTTTCCCCGGCCAGATTATTCCACATGGAAGTCAGTGGAGGGGTGTTTTGGGTCCCCTCCCCCAAAGGATAGATCCACAAGGAGGCCCTGGGGCAGAGGTCTTCAAACTTGGCAGCTTTAAGACTTGTGGACTTCAATTCCCAGAATTCCCCAGCCAGCATAGCATAGCGTAGTATAGCTGGCTCCAGCCAGCATACCATAGCTGGCTGGAGAATTCTGGGAGTTGAAGTCCACAAGTCTTAAAGCTGCCAAGTTTGAAGACCTCTGCCCCCGGGGGAATCTAACCAGCATTGCCCGCAAACCTAAATTTTGGATGGATATTTCAGGGATGTTGAGCTACATTTCTGGGCTTCTTGGAGGTAGGAGAGTTGTTGGGAAAAGATGTGTTCCTTCTTTCCTATTTGGGAAAGATGGGTGTGTCTTGATTTTTACCCCCTACAATCAGAGACCAAAACGCAGCAGTGAAACTATCAGAATCTGATTAGAAATGGAAGGTAGGTTAACTAGAGACGTTGAGTAGCCTCTTTGGCTGCTAGATCACCTTGGCAGTGATGATGGATTGCTGATTTTTTTTTCTCCATCCATCCAGGATCTCTCCTGTATAAAATATATAATTATATCAATCAGAACTGCAGTCACTTGCTTTCTCTCCATAGATGCTGTGACCTTGCTAAACCTGCTCAAAACATCTGGACTCACAGCATCCTACTGAGCCGCCAGAGTGGATACCTAGAGCTCTCACAACTGCTCGCCTAAAGCAGCACCTGGGACTTTGAGCTTTCTGTGCAGTCTCATACTCCATATATACACAACATCTGCCGTGAAGAAGACCTGCGTGCCAATAATTAACCCCCCCCCTCCCCAAAATGGCCAAACGGAAAGTGGACATTGAAAACAGGTGCTTTCAAAAGAGGTGGGAGGCAGAGTACCTGTTTGTTAATATTGAAGATCAGGCCGTCTGCCTTGTTTGCAGAGATACTGTGGCTGTATTTAAAGAATATAACATGAGACGACACTATGAGGCCAAACATCCGGACAAGTACAAAAACCTGGACATACAGCAGAAGCTAAAGAAAGTGGAAGAGCTGAAAAAGAGTCTGATGTCGTTCATAAAAGCAAAATCACAACGTGAAGCTGCTGTGAAAGCTAGTTTTATAGTGGCGGAAGAGATAGCTAAATCAGCCTGGCCGTTTACAGAGGGGGAGTTTTTGAAGCGCTGCATGATTAAAGCGTGCGAAGTCTTGTGTCCGGACCAAAAGGAAGCATTTTTGAACTTAAGCCTAAGCAGAAATACTGTTGCTGATCGGATCGGTGAGCTTGCCGCTGTTTTACAAGGACAGCTGGTTGAAAAGGGAAAGGGTTTCATTGCGTATTCCCTGGCTGTGGATGTGAGCGCTGACATCTCTGACACGGCACAGCTGACAATCTTCATCCGTGGAGTGGACTCAGGTTTATGCATTACAGAGGAATTTTTGGACATGAAATCAATGCACGGCACGACCACAGGAAAAGACATATTTGAAGCGGTATCTAAATGTGTAAATGACATGAAACTACCCTGGGACAAACTCACGGGACTGACAACAAATGGAACACCTTCGATGCGCGGGGGAAAGAGTGGATTAGTGAGAAGGATGCGAGAGAAGATGAAGAGCGAGAATTGCACACATGAACTGACAGCATATCACTTCATCATACACCAGGAAACACTGTGCGGGAAAACTCTGAAGATGGGACATGTAATGAGCATTGTAACACAGACAATTAACTTTATAAGAGCCAATGGTTTACATCACAGTCAATTTAAGTCTTTATTTGAGGAAATACATTCTGAACTTGGTGATCTGCCCTACCACACAGAGGTGCGATGGTTGAGTCAAGAAAAAGTGCTCGTTAGGTTTTTTGAGTTGCGTACGGAAATTTGTCAGTTCGTTGAAAGTAAAGGAAAAGACTCCACAGTACTGCGGGATGAAAAGTGGCTGTGCGAATTGGCTTTCCTGTGCGATATAACAAAGCATCTCACTACGCTAAAACTTCAGCTTCAGGGACGGGACCGTATGATCACGGACATGTATGATGCAGTGAAAGGCTTCCAAGTAAAGCTGCGACTGTGGGAGACTCAAATGCAGCAAGGAAACCTGAGTCACTTTCCCTGTTGCCAAACAATCATCAGCCAAGTCTCCTCCACCTTTGTGTTCTCACACGCTCAGTTTGCTGATAAACTGAGCGCACTTCAGATGGAGTTTATGCGCCGCTTTGTCGAGTTTGAAGCGCAGACGTTCAATTTTGGACTGCTCGGTCATCCCTTTTCAGTTGACGTGAAGAAAGCACCTGCAGACATCCAGGCGGAGCTGATAGAACTCCAGTGTAGCAGCACACTTAAGGCAAAGTATGATTCTGTAGGGTCTGCACTTTTCACCAGGTTCATCCCTGAAACGATGCCCCAGCTCCGCCTACAAGCTGCTCGAATGCTCTGTATGTTTGGTAACACGTACCTGTGTGAGAAAGTTTTCTCTGTGAGGAGGGTGAACAAAAGCGCACACAGAAGTGTTCTCACTGATGCACGCCTCCACTCTATCCTGAGAGTTTCCACAGCTCAAAACCTAACCCTAAACATGGATGAACTTGTAGCCAAGAAAAGATGCCAAGCATCCAGGTCGGACAAAAAGGTACGAGAGAGAGAGAACTAAACAGCTTGTTTTTTTCTTTGTTTTAAATTTGTTTTTGCAAGTTTATTTGAAATCATTTATGTGTTCATATTTGAAATGTTAATACTGTTTGGCCCACGTCTTAGATATAATACACTCCTGAACAGGGTGGATTTGATTTAAATCAAGTTGATTTAAATCACGATTTAAATCATGATTTAAATCACTAGTAAAAAGGCTTGATTTAAATCAACTCGATTTAAATCATAATTTTTAAAGAGCAACTGTCATCTCTGCTACTCCTTTGACCCACTGTTGACTCACCGATAGTCCCAGGGTTGCAGAATATACAGCCTCATGCTACATAACTAAGCTCCATTTCATGCTGAATAAGCTAAATTATTTATGTATCTTAAATAGAAAACTATCTTACGATAGATTTTTACCCCAAAAGTTTTTTATTAAAATAAATTTGATAAAAATAAAAAAAAATCCTATTTAAATAAAAAAAATCCTATTTAAATAAAAAAAATCTGATTGTTTTGATTTTTTTAAAAAAATCATTGATTTTTATCCACCCTGCTCCTGAACTAATATGATACAAGTCTCACCTCCAATTGGCCCTTTGAGGACATCCATAATGCTAATGTGGCGAAAGTTTGCAGGAAGCAGTTTCCTCCGAGTCCAACTTCTGACTTGAAAGATCTCTGGATGGGAGAAGGGGGTGGCGGGAGCTGCACGAGTGAAGGCTGCTCCAACAAGCCAGCATCCTTACCACACACAATTGGAAATGGAGATTTCCCTTTCGAGAAGGGCCAACTTCCCTTCTGCAGGAGCGGGGCCACTGTTCCCCTGCCACTGTTCCCCTTGGCCTTCAGAGATCTGTCAAGGCAGAAGTTGGACTCGGAGCAAAGTGCTTCCTGCAAACTTTTTCCTCTGTGCTTCCATATGCAACAGCATTGTACTCCACCTCCTGCTTTGCCGGGACAGGACACCGGACAGGGAAACGCTAACAATGCCTGGGATTGAGAGAAGAATATCTTCTTTGGCGTGCTGTGTCCACAGACTCAGACCCACTATTCCAAGCTTGAAGACTTACCCACATCTGAACTAGGAAACTGCCAATCATGCCTGGGCTTGGGGAGAAGGCTTCTCCTTTCTCTGCGGATAGAAGTCCCCAAACTTGGAATGTGGTGTATCTGTGTGCACACCTGTACACGATTGGCGGCCAGTAGGTCCCTGTGAGTCATCATAGTCTTATATGTACCATAACTGGCCCTTTGAGGGCAAGCATAATGCTGATGCGGCCCTCAAAGAAATTAAGTTTGACACTTCTGAGCTAAGCTATAACATGGTCCAGCTTTGGAGACACCATCCTGTTTAATTGTTTTAACATTTATTGGTCTTTCATCCTGGCTATATTTTAAATTGCAGGGTCAGCCAATGAAGATGGCCAGGGTACCCCTTCACCGTGGAGAAGCTCTATCTGGTCTCTCTGCCGCAACATCTCTGGTAAGGAGCTTTATCAGAGCAGGAAATCCTTAAAGTCTAAAACATTAGTCTGACTTGTTCAAGCAGATTCAGTGAAAAGTTATATATGTGAGGAATGGAGTTATTACATCAAAATGGCAGCTTCTACCAAAAAAAAAAAAAGGTTTTCACACAGAAAGATCCTGTGGCAGCCATGACACCTAGTCGCACATTGTGTCAGAAAAGGAGCATTTTCTGCTGTAGAAAAACTTAACTTTTAGGATATTGGAAATGTGGAAGAGAATGTTCTAGGATGTCTGTGTGCTGAGTAACATTTCCTTTGAATTTCAGGGCTCTGTATCCTTTGAGGACGTGGCTGTGTATTTCACGGAAGAGGAGTGGGCTCTGCTGGATTCTAGCCAGAGAGCCTTACACAGAGAAGTCATGCTGGAGACTTCTAGGAATCTGGCTGCTGTGGGTAAGGATCTGTTTTGACATGGATCTGGCACACGTGGCCATTCTGGAAATTCTCTTTCTCTGTCTATCTCTCTTTCGCTCTCTTCTTGCCTATTTTCTGGAAGCGAGGGAGGTGAAATGGGGGCCCGTTTTTGGCTTCCTGGGGTGTCCACACACCCCATTTTTCACCTCCCCTGCCTCCAGAAGCATTCTGCAGGCCAAAACGGGCCGTTTCCTGGGCTCCCAAGGCATCTGCATGCCCCATTTTTCATCTCCCCCACCTCCAGAACCTCTTTGTAGGTCAAAATTGTGGCCTTACCTTCCAGTTTCAGCCTGTGGGGCTTGCGAAGGTAAGTCCTGTGCTCGGCCAAAGTGTCTGAGCGGGGCAGCCTCGTGGTCATGCGCGGGCCAGATTAATGGCTTTGGCAGGCCATATGTGGCCAGTAGTTTGAGGACCCTTGTCTTATACCCTTTGAGGATTCACATTAGATAGGGTAGAGTAGAGTAGAGTAGAATAGAGTGGAATGGAATGGAATGGAATGGAATGGAATGGAATGGAATGGAATGGAATGGAATGGAATAGAATAGAATAGAATAGAATAGAATAGAATAGAATAGAATAGAATAGAATAGAATAGAATAGAATGGAATAACAGAGTTGGAAGGGACCTTGGAGGACTTCTAGTCCAACCCCCTGCCCAGGCAGGAAACCCTACACCACTTCAGACAAATGGTTATCCAACATCTTAAAAATTTCCAGCGTTGGAGCATTCAGAACTTCTGCAGGCAAGTTGTTCCACTTATTAATTGTTCTAACTGTCAGGAAATTTCTCCTTAGTTCTAAATTGCTTCTCTCTTTGATTAGTTTCCATCCATTGCTTCTTGTTCTACCCTCGGGCACTTTGAAGAATAGTTTGACTCCCTCTTCTTCGTGGCAGCCCCTGAGATACTGGAACACTGCTATCATGTCTCCCCTAGTCCTTCTTTTCATTAAACTAGACATACCCAGTTCCTGCAACCGTTCTTCATATGTTTCAGCCTCCAGTCCCCTAATCATCTTTGTTGCTCTTCTCTGCACTCTTTCTCAACGTCTTTTTTACATCGTGGCGACCAAAACTGAATGCAATATTCCAAGTGTGGCCTTACCAAGGCATTATAAAGTGGTATTAACACTTCATGTGATCTTGATTCTGTCCCTCTGTTTATGCAGCCCAGAACTGTGTTGGCTTTTTTGGCAGCTGCTGCACACTGCTGGCTCATATCTAAATGGTTGTCCACTAGGACTCCAAGATCCCTCTCACAGTTACTACTATTGAGCAAGGTACCACATATACGGTACCTGTGCATTTTGTTTTTCTTCCCTAAATGTAGAACCTTGCTTTTTTCACTGTTGAATTTTATTTTGTTAGATAGTGCCCAATGTTCAAGTCTGTCAAGATCCTTCTGTATCTTGAGCCTATCTTCTGGAGTGTTGGCTATTCCTGCCAGCTTGGTGTCATCTGCAAATTTGATGCGTTCCCCATCTATCCCCTCGTCCAAGTCATTGATGAAGATGTTGAAGAGCACTGGGCCTAAAACAGAGCCCTCCGGTACTCCACTGCATACTTCCCTCCATGTAGATGCAGTTCCATTGAGGACTACACGTTAAGCGCGGTTGGTCAGCCAGTTACGAATCCATCTGGTGGTGATGCTGCCTAACCCACATTTTTCTACTTTAACTAGTAGTAGGTTATGGTCTACTTTATCAAATGCTTTACTAAAGTCCAAGTAAATTATATCGACAGCATTTCTCTGGTCCACTAATTTTGTCACTTTGTCAAAGAATGCAATAAGATTAGTCTGGCATGATCTGTTTTTGACAAACCCATGTTGGCTTTTAGTTATTACTTGGTTTGCTTCTAGGTGTTAGGTGATTCGTTGTTTGATTATCTTTTCCACAATCTTCCCTGGTATTGAGGTTAGGCTAATAAGTCTGTAGTTTCCTGGATCTATTTTTTTTTTTTCCTTTTTTGAAGATGGGAACTATATCAGCTCTTTTCCAATCCTCTGGCAGTTCCCTTGTGCTCCAGGATCTTTGAAAGATATAATTCAGTGGTTCTGAGATCTCGTCTGCCAGTTCTTTTAGAACCTTGGGGTGTAATCCATCTGGTCCTGGTGATTTGAACTCATCTAGGGTAGACAATTTCTACCCTTACCATTTTCTTCCCTATTTTAACTTGTGCTCCTAATCTGTTTTTTGTGGTGCTGTTTTTGATAGGTTGGACTGTTTTTTTCCTTTTGTGTAAGGACAGATGCAAAAAATGAGTTAAGTAGTTCTGTTTCTCCCTGTTGTTTGTCACCTTCTTGCCACTTTCTCCCAGCAATGGGCCAATTGTTTCCTTGACCTTTTTCTTGTTTTTAATATGTTGGAAGAAGCTTTTTTTTTTTTTTTTGTTATTTTTTACTTTAGTCACAAGCCTTTGTTCATTGTGAGCCTTAGCTTTCCTCACTTCATCTTTACAGGCTCCGGTGATTTGCTAATATTCTGCTTTAGTTATTTGCCCCTCTTTCCACTTTTTATACTTGTCCTTTTTGTCTTTCAATTTGTTAGAGAGTTCTTTATGCAGCCATGCTGGTTTCTTTTGAGATCTATTATTTTTCTTCTTCGTTGGTATTGGGGTTTTATAATCTCACTTTTCAAAATTTCCCAAGCTTCTTGTTAATTCACCATTAATAGCAATCTTTGCTGCTGTGATGTTTGACCTCTTGAATTAAATCCCCACCAAAATCCATTTCTTCCAGGATTTTAAACATAAAGGGCCAATTTAAGTTGTCAAAGGCCTTCTCTGCATCTAAGAATATTAAAGCTGCCTGTTATTCATTAAGATACTGTAAGTATTCAATAATATTCAAAACAGTTCTCATGTTGTTCCTTAAGAGTCTTTTAGGCAAAAATCCAGATATACCTGTAAAACTTTCTTTAATCTTTCTGCCAAAACTGCAACAAATAATTTATCATCCTTATTGAATAGTGAGAATAGTGAGATCTATAATTCTTTATCGTCATGATATCCTGACTCCTTTGGGAACAACACAATATTAGCTTCTTTCCAATTTGGGGTTATCCTTCCCTCCTGTAAAATATCATTCATTATATCCTTTAATGGCTGAAGAAGTTTGTCTTCAAAACATTTATAATATTGACTTGTAAGTCAGTCTGGACTAGGAGCTTTACCTGATTTCATTTTTCTTATAGATTCTGATATTTCAAAAATAGTTATTGGGTTATTCATATCTTGTCTCCGAGTTTGTGAAAGTTTCGGCAAGTGTTGTCTTATCTCATCTATTTTTGACTTATCTACTCCTGTATTTTATACAAGTTAGAATACAGTAGAGCCCGTGGGCCAGGAGTCTGACAGCCCTGATGTAAAGCACTCTTGAAACTGCATTTGCTCAGATGTCAGATGCCAAAAAGGTTGGGTTTTTTTCTGGGTGGGGTATGTGGACTAGAAATACTTCATAAAAATAAGTTGGGAACTAAACAAAAGGACATAATATCTGAGGAAGAACCAGAAATGAAATGAAAGTTTTAGACATATAAAGAGGAACCCAGAAAATCTTGGAAATGCAAAAATAACAGTTGCGGCATTTTTACGTGATAAATGTAATGATTTTTTTTTCTGTTTTTCATCAAATAAGGTTACAGGCAGGAGCATAAGAACCACCAGGAACCCAGCTTAGCGCTATTCCAGTCTGAAGAAAGGATGCTTGGAATTCAGAGGGTACTTCAAAGGACTATGACAAGCTGCCTAAAGAATGAAAGGAAGAAATCTTTTCCTGATCACAATGAAGTCCTCAGCCTCCCAGCTCAGCAACTTCAGCAACCAGTAGGAAGTGAAAAATATTTTGGTGGTGACAAGACAGAGAGAGCAAAATTTGTTTTCACTGAATATTGTATAAAGCAGACTGAAGAGGAACAATGTGAGCGTCAAGAGTATGGGCAAAATATCAATCTTAGTACCTCTCTTGCTTTACATCAGCCAACCTACATTCCAGAGACACCATATGCACCTATAAATTGTGTAGAAAAATTCACTTTAAACAGTCATCATAGGTCACATAAAGAGAAGAACCCATATGCGTCTGGAACGGGTTTCGGCAAGAAACACTTGTTTATTTTACCCCCAGAAAATCCCCCAATGGAAAAACTATATAAATGTCTGAAGTGCGAAAAGACCTTCCCTCACAGATGTAGGCTTACTGCCCATGAACTGATGCACTCAGGGGAGAAGCCATATATATGCCAGGTATGTGGAAAAAGTTTCTGGCAGATGGGTCATCTCACAAGACATCTACGAATCCACACGGGGGAGAAACCATATATGTGTCTTCACTGCGGAAGGAAGTTCAATGAAAGTTCAGGCCTTAACAAACATGTAAGGAGCCACACGGGGGAGAGACCATATAAATGTACAGAGTGTGATAAGAGCTTCATTCGGAAAACTGCCTTAGTGTATCATAAAAGGATCCACACGGGAGAAAAACCATACACGTGCCTGGAGTGTGGGAAGAGCTTCGGGCGGAACAGTAGTCTTATGCAACATAAAAGAACTCACACTGGGGAGAGACCGTATCAGTGTTTGGAGTGTGGAAAGACTTTCAAATACAGCAGTCATTTTATTTGCCATAAAAGGACTCACACAAGGGAGAAACTGTTCAAATGCTCAGTGTGGCAAGAGCTTTAGTCAGGAAAGTCACCTTTCACTACATAAAACAATCCACACAAGAGTCTTCTAAACACACCAGAAATATGTTGACTTTGCAATAACATTCAGTTCGAAAGGTCGTCTCATCAGATCAAAATGAATCCACATTGGAGATCCATAAAAATGCCTGAAGTGTGGAAATGGGTTAAAATGTGGCATTGTCCTTATTTCCCACAGGAAAGCCTATGACTATGGACAAACTTTCGATGGCCGTACTGGTCATTCCTCCCACCCCCCCGAAAATATATATGTGAGTTTGGATAAACTTCATGGATGCTAAACTTGCAGACTAGGAAGAAGTGATGCATACAGGAGAAGAGGGTACATCAAGAAATGGAGCAAAGCAACTATTTTAAGAGGACGTGTCTTCTTAAATACCATAAAAGTTCCACTCAGGAGAAAAACTGCATAAAAGAGTGGAACGTGGAGAGGACTGGTGTTATTTTGCCTAGGTTTCCAACGAATTATGAACCCCTCTCCACATTTTGTTAGACCAATCTTGAATATTTTTCTTGCTATAATCTGGGACTGTTCTATGAGAGGCTGATGAGGATTATATGGTAGGTCAGGGTTCAAGTCCCATGAAAACAGACTGAGGCCAATGGGAATGTTTAGCCTTGTAAAAAAAAAAAAACAGACAAGAAGGATCTAATATCTGTGTCGAAGCATTTGATGCGATGCCCCATAGATGAAAGGTTTGTCCTGCAGTGCAGAATAAATATAGTAGAATCAGGTTTAATGTTACAAAAATATTATGATAGTGATGAAACTCTCAAAACACTCAATAACTGCCTCGGCTGATACCCCTCCCTTAATAAATACAGGAAAACACTTCCTCCTCTTCACAAATCCCCATTTTATACAACTTTTTACAAATTTACTATGATGATTGTCTTTTAATTTCACAGTAAAATATTTGAGCTTTTCTTTTCTAAGGACTGTGGGTAGTACTTGCTTTGCAACTCTTTGAATTTACGATGGACCACCCCCAAAAGAGAAATATGAACCAGTTTTGGGCTTGGAATGGTGGCATTCACCAATCAGAATAGAGCTGGAAGAGATCTTGGAGATCTAGTCCAACCTCCTGCTCAAACAGGAGACCCTATACCATTTTAGACAAGTGGCTGTCCAGTCTTTTGAAAGCCTCCAGTGATGAAGCCCCCTCAACTTCTGAGGACAAGCCATTCCACTGAGTAATTGTTCTCACTGTTAGGAAGTTTCTTCTTAATTCCAGCCTGCTTATGTCCTTGATTAGTTTCCATCCATTATTTCTTGTCTTGCCTTCTGGTGCTTTGGAAAAGATCACATGACTGCATTTCAGGCCCTTGGCCACTGGCACATCTTTGCAGATGGTTCCATGTTCATATGATTTATACGGGGCTTTTTTTTTCTGGGAAGCGGACTTTTCAAAGTTTCTAGCAAAAAGGCCCATAGGAATACATTGACTTTTTTAAATGACTGCGGGCATGTGCTTTACAACTGCTGCAAAAAGATTCATAAAATCAGGTTCCTCAGGTGGGTATCTCAATTTGTGACTTACGACTTACGCTTACGATTAGAATTCGAGCCTCCATTATGGTCGTAAGTTGAGGACTATACTTTCTTGTGCTGCTAAAATTGTAAATAAACTTCCCTCTCTTTTTATTTCGCATTTCTAGAAGGCCTATTGCTTCAAATTAGTGTTGTTTACTTCTCAAAATATGTAAAGGTGGAATATGGAATGTGAAAAAAATGAACCTTAGGAACTCGCACACACACCTCCAAAATCTGGTCATTCCCAGTTGTGGGATTTCTCTCTGTATGTGCATTCTTTATGGTTTGGGGGGAGGGGGGGTGTTAAGCCAAGTTTCCTTTGGTCTTTTTAGGACTGTACCAGTCTCCCCAAGACATTCTTAAGTCATTATCACCTTTTTGGGTGGAGTTCATTTTTTTAAATAACTTTTTTGACATTTTGGTGCATTATGCAGGGCCGGATTTAGAGAAAAAAGGCCCTAGGCTATTCCACTTATGAGGCCCTTTCAGCTATAGTGAAAGTGTAATTTTAATTTTGCTAACAATTTGAATGTAGGCCCCTCTTGATCTTGAGGCCCTAGGCTGAAGCCTAGTTAGCCTATAGGAAAATCCAGCCCTGGCATTATGCTTGGGATAGAGCTCATGTAATTTACCAATCGTATTGATTGTATGTGATTGTGCCCTGCGGAGGTATATTTAACAAAAAAAAAATAAAGAAAAAAAAGAATTAGGCTAGGGCAGTGGTTCTCAACCTGTGGGTTGGGGGTCGAACTGAGCCAGGCTAAGATTCGATATTGGGATAAAACTCAAATATTAGAAATCCAAATCTTCGGTTAAGACAGAAGTGCCTTTCACAGGGGTCTAAGACCATCAGAAAACATTTTCAATGGTTTTAGGAATAATTTTATTGTTGGGGGTCACCACAACATGAGGAACTGTATTAAAGGGTCGCAGCATTAGGAAGGTTGAGAGCCACTGGTCTAGGGTGATGCTGATGATAATAAAGATTCCAAGATACTAAATAAAAATTAAAAAAAAAAGGAACTCGCACACACAAAGTACCAAGGGAACATGCAGAATTTGGGAAACTGAATTGGGTCAAGAAGGGAAAATTCAAATTCTGGATTATGTCCATTTCCAGTCATAGAATGAGGAGCATTCAAAACTACTGTGGCTCTGTTATTCAGAAAGGATGACCAATAAATAATTTCTATCCTGTTCAGTTCCATTCGGCTCCACTCCACTCCATTAAGAATACCAAGAAAGGTGGGGGACGGTGGCTCCCTACGTGGAATCCTCTCCCAATCAGCTGAGGCTCCTCCCTGCTTGGGATCTTCTCCAATCCGTGGACAGAGCTACGAAAGGCGGATTTAAATCCACCTTTAAATCCACCAGCGGGCTAGCCGTCGGGTCCCGCAGGAAAGAGACGGGAGTGGTTGGTAGACGGGGAGGTTGCAAAGGGGGACTGCTCTTCCCAGAGGCCGAGGGGCGTCTTGCGTTGAAGTCGGAGCGGAAAGCAGGGAACGAATTGCAGCTGCGCTTCCCCAGATCCAGACCGCGTGGAAGTGCGATCCCGTTTATACCCGGGAAGCGAAGGGAATCCGGAGCGGAGCGGCTGAGCGTCCGAAGGCGGCCGGGCAAGAGAAAGAGCGAACTATTCGCGGCGGGTAAGCCGGATGGCCTTGCGGAGGAGGGCGGGAGCAGCCTTGGGCCCTCCTGCCGCTGAGCCCGAAGGGGAGGGCGGGGAGGAGAGCTGCAAACTACCCGCTCAGTCCCAGGGTCCTCTTTCCCCGCCCAGATTATTCCACGGGAGGGAGAGGGAATCGCAAGGGAATTTGCATCTCCCAACTATGGATCTAACAGGTTCCAATTTTGGAAAGACAAATGCAAGTTGAAACAATAAATGAGATTTTTTTGGTTTCCCTCCATTTTCGGCCTCAAGAGTCCTCTTTCCAGGGAGGGAGAGGGAATCCCAAGGGAATTTGCATCTCCAACTATAGATCTAAAAGGTTCCAATTTTGGAAAGACAAATGTAAATTGAAACAATAAATGAGATTTTTTGGTTTCCCTCCATTTTCGGCCTCAAGAGTCCTTTCCAGGGAGGGAGAGGGAATCGCAAGGAAATTTGCATCTCCAACTATAGATCTAACAGGTTCCAATTTTGGAAAGACAAATGTAAATTGAAACAATAAATGAGATTTTTTGGTTTCCCTCCATTTTCGGCCTCAAGAGTCCTCTTTCCAGGGAGGGAGAGGGAATCCCAAGGGAATTTGCATCTCCAACTATGGATCTAACAGGTTCCAATTTCGGAAAGACAAATGTAAGTTGAAACAATAAATGAGATTTTTTTGGTTTCCCTCCATTTTCCGCCTCAAGAGTCCTCTTTCCAGGGAGGGAGAGGGAATCCCAAGGGAATTTGCATCTCCCAACTATGGATCTAACAGGTTCCAATTTTGAAAACACAAATGTAAGTTGAAACAATAAATGAGATTTTTTTGGTTTCCCTCCATTTTCGGCCTCAAGAGTCCTCTTTCCAGGGAGGGAGAGGGAATCCCAAGGGAATTTGCATCTCCCAACTATGGATCTAACAGGTTCCAATTTTGAAAACACAAATGTAAGTTGAAACAATAAATGAGATTTTTTTGGTTTCCCTCCATTTTCCGCCTCAAGAGTCCTCTTTCCAGGGAGGGAGAGGGAATCCCAAGGGAATTTGCATCTCCCAACTATGGATCTAACAGGTTCCAATTTTGAAAACACAAATGTAAGTTGAAACAATAAATGAGATTTTTTTGGTTTCCCTCCATTTTCCGCCTCAAGAGTCCTCTTTCCAGGGAGGGAGAGGGAATCCCAAGGGAATTTGCATCTCCAACTATGGATCTAACAGGTTCCAATTTTGGAAAGACAAATGCAAGTTGTAGCAATAGAAGAGACTTTGATTTCCCTCCTTGTTGGAAGGAAAATCCATCTGGTTCAGTTCCAAGCTGGGAGAAAGAGGCTGGAAATAAAATGGAGGTTGGAGGCTGATTGGAGAGAAAACTTAATGAGGAGCAGAACCAACAGCAGTTCTGGGTCAGCTGAACCATTAGCTAGATGAGGGCTAGGATTTTATAGAGGTTCCTCAAATGCTGCTCTTGGGGGGGGGATGGAGAGGTTGGGCATTGTGTGAAATTAGGAAAGTGTGCGATGTAGTGAGCTCTGTGTCTTCTGCTAAATGATGGTGGGTTAAATGGTCATGTCCTGTTCTTAGAATTTGGGTGAAGGAGACTGTAAAGGCTTAATCCCATCACTGGAGGTGAAGGTTTTTTGTTTCTGGCCCCATCTTTCTTAATGGGCACAAAATATCTGGCCTAAATCATCTCCCCTTTTTAAATGTAAATTTTAATTTGTTTTTAAATTATGGGGTATTTTAAATTTGTTCAGCCAAATTATTTAATTCGTTTTTATTCTTTTTTAAATTTTATTTATTTATTTATTTATTATTGAATTTCTATACCGCCCTTCTCCCTGAGGACTCAGGGCGGTGTACAGCCAGAATTAAAAAACATGCAGGACAAATATTAAAAAACAATTAAAAGATATATAAATTTGGCCCAATTAAAACTCACTACCCATTAAAACATTTAAAACATTTAAAAAACATTTAAAAATTTCTTCTTAAGCCAGCCCGGCTTGCTTGAAAAAATGGGTTTTAAGGGCACGACGGAAGGCACCGAGGTCTTGGATTCTCCTTATCTCTGGGGGCAGCTGATTCCAGAGGGTAGGTGCCCCCACAGAGAAGGCCCTCCCCCTGGGGGTCACCAGCCTACACTGTTTGGCTGATGGCACCCCGAGGAGGCCCTCTCTGTGGGAGCCCACATAAATTTTAGTATTTATGTGTTTTATCCTGTGGCTGTTCACTGCCCTGAGTCCTTCGGGAGTAGGGCGGTATAGAAATTTAATAAAAAAATAAAATAAATAAAATAAAATAAATATCTGCTGTGGCCTATGAAGAAATGGTTTCCCTCCCCTTTCAGTCCCAGAGTTTTCTTTCCCCACCCAGATTATTCCACATGGAAGTCGGTGGACGGGTGTTTTGGGTCCCCTCCCCCAAAGGACAGATCCACAAGGAGGTCCTTAGGGCAGAGGTCTTCAAACTTGGCAGCTTTAAGACTTGTGGACTTCAACTCCCAGAATCCTCCAGCCAGCATAGCACTATCAGACACACTATTCCAAGCATGAAGACTTACCCACATCTGAACTAGGAAACTGCCAATCATGCCTGGGCTTGGGGAGAAGGCCCCTCCTTTCTCTGCGGATAGAAGTCCCCAAACTTGGAATGTGGTGTATCTGTGCGAACGCCTGTACGTGATTGGTGGCCAGCAGGCAAGGAGTTTGTGGGGCACTGTTGTGGTTAACATCAAGTCAACCGGTGTGACTTGTTCGATCCTGACCCAGCCATCTTGAGTCAGCCGTGCCCATCAAAATGGTAGCTTCTGCCAAAAAAAAAAGTTTTCACACAGAAAGAGATGCGACAAAATGACGTCTCAAAGTCTTTCACCGAAATGAATTGTGGTAGGAAGAAATTCTAACCAGATAGGTGGATTGTCGGAGAGGCAGCCATGAAACCTAGTCTTACATTGTATCAGAAAAGGAGCATTTTCTGTCTTACAAAAACTTACTTTTAGGATATTGGAAATGTGGAAGAGAATGTTCTAGGATGTCTGTGCTGAGTAACATTTCCTTTGAATTTCAGGGCTCTGTATCTTTTGAGGACGTGGCTGTGTATTTCACGGAAGAGGAGTGGGCTCTGCTGGATTCTAGCCAGAGAGCCTTACACAGAGAAGTCATGCTGGAGAATTCTAGGAATCTGGCTGCTGTGGGTAAGGATCTGTTTTGTGTATCATTCTGCATGAGGATCTGTTTTGCTCTAGTATTCAGGCATTTTTGGAAGTCATTTGTTGCCATAAGTGCACGGAAAGCAACTTCTATCTAGATTCAGCGGTTCTCAACCTGGGGGTCGCGACCCCTTTGGGGGTCAAACGGCCATTTCACAGGGGTCACCAAAGCCCTCTCTTGCCCCCCCCACGCCTTCACTCAGCCTCACCCTCTGTCTCTATTGGAGGGCTGCGAATCCCAGTGTGCAAAGCAGTGCCCCACACTTTAGCAAAGAGCGGAGAGAGGTTGCGTGTGTGCGTGAGTGCATGTGAGTGTGTGCGCACGTGACTAGAAAAGATTCTAGTGCAGGAAAAGTCCTGGGGAGTTCAGGGACTCTCTGCTGCTGCTGCAAAAGCTCAACAGAAAAAGTTTGGGTGAGTAAGTTCAGGGATTCCCTGCCGCCACCGCGCCGCCAATTCCTGCAGCGGCAAAAGCCGCGCAGGAGAAGTTTCAGGAGTGCCCCCTGAAGCTCCCGTTTCAACCCCTGCCTGCCAAAGCCTGAAGCTCCTGTTTTGGGTGCAGGAGAGAAAGCAGGAAAGGAAGGGGGAGAGAGAGAGAAAGAGGGAAAGCGGAAGGGAGAGAGAGAAAAAAGAAAGAATGAAAGAGAAAGAGACAAAAAAAGAAAAAGAGAGGAAGGGAGAGACAAGAAAGAGAGAAAAAGAAAAAGTGGAGAGAAAGCAGGAAAGGAAGAGAGAGAGAGAGAGGGAAAGAGGAAGGGAGAGAGAAAAAAGAAAGAATGAAAGAAAAAGAGACAAAAAAAGGAAGGGAGAGACGAGAGAGAAAGAAAGTGGAGAGAAAGCAGGAAAGGAAGGGAGAGAGAGGGAAAGAGGAAGGGAGAGAGAAAAAAGAATGAAAGAAAAAGAGACAAAAAGAGAGAAAGAGAGAGGAAGGGAGAGACAAAGAGAGAGAAAAAAGGCGAGAAAGCAGGAAAAGAAAGGAGAGAGAGAGAAAGAGGGAAAGTGGAAGGGAGAGAGAGAAAAAAGAAAGAATGAAAGAAAAAGAGAAAGAGAGAGAGGAAGGGAGAGAAAGTCCTTGATTTATGACCAGAATTGAGCCCAAAATTTTGGTTGCTAAGCAAGAGCATTGTTAAGTGAGTTTCACATTGTACTCAATCCATGATCTCTCCTGGTTCTAACAGTCATGTGCAAGTTAGGGAAGAACTATGCCATGTATCATCTTTTGCATTATTAAAGCTATTGTTAAATATTATTTTCATTAGCAAACCAACCCATGACAATGAAACCGAAAGTTAAGAAAAGAAAATACATTGAGGAGTTTTTACAGTATGGATTTACCTCAATAATTACAGCAGGAATTGAGAAACCGCAATGCGTTATTTGTTGTGAAGTTCTATCAGCCGAATCTATGAAGCCAAACAAAATGAAACGCCATTTTGATAGCAAGCATCCGAGCTTTGCCGGCATGGATACCAACTATTTTAGAAGCAAAGCTGATGGACTCAAGAAAGCTAGACTTCACACTGGTGGCAAGTGCGACAAACAAAACGTAGCAGCCGTTGAAGCTTCATATTTGGTGGCACACAGAATCGCCAGAGCTATGAAACCTCACACCATTGCTGAGGATTTACTGTTGCCAACGGCCAAAGACATTGTTCGAGTTATGATCGGAGATGAATTTGTTAAGAAATTGAGTCCAATTTCCTTATCCAACGACACTGTCCGCAGAAGAATAGATGACATGTCTGCTGATATTCTTGATCAGGTAATCCAGGAAATTAAATCTGCTCCACTTCCAATATTTAGTATCCAGCTTGATGAATCTACAGACGTTGCAAACTGTTCACAGTTACTGGTTTACGTGAGGTATATTAATGATGGCAACTTTAAAGATGAGTTTCTTTTTTGCAAACCTCTTGAAACGACAGCTACTGGACATGATGTATTTGACACAGTTGGTTCATTTCTGAAAGAGCATAAGATCTCTTGGGAAAAAGTTTGTGGTGTTTGCACAAATGGTGCTTCAGCCATGCTAGGATGTCGATCTGGGTTTCAACGTTTGGTACTGAATGAGTCACCAAAAGTCATCAGAACTCACTGTATGATTCATTGGCAAATATTAGCAATGAAGACGCTACCACAAGAGTTACAAGAAGTAATGAAAAGTGTCATAAGTTCTGTCAATTTTGTAAAGGCGAGCTCTTTAAACAGTCAGCTGTTTTCGCAACTGTGTAACGAGTTGGATGCGCCGAACAATGCTCTGCTATTTCACACTGAAGTGAGATGGTTGTCGAGAGGAAAAGTTTTAAAACATGTTTTTGAGCTTCGTGATGAACTCAAAATGTTTTTTAATCAGAAAGCAAGACCGCAGTTCGAAGCACTTTTCAGCGATAAAAGTGAACTGCAGAAAATAGCTTACTTGGTTGATATCTTTGCCATCTTGAATGAGTTAAATTTATCACTGCAAGGACCAGATGCAACATGCCTCGATTTGTCTGAAAAGATCCGAGCATTCCAAATGAAACTTCAGCTTTGGCAAAAAAAATTGGATGAAAATAAAATTTACATGTTGCCTACCTTATCTGCTTTCTTTGAGGAACATGACATTGAACCAGACAAAAAGATTATGATGATAATTTCTGCGAAAGAACACTTGCACATGCTTGAAGACGAAGTTTCATCGTACTTTCCAAATCTACCTGACACCCCATTTGCACTTGCCAGAAGCCCATTCACAGTCAAAATTGAAGATGTTCCTGAGACAGCACAAGAGGAGTTCATTGAACTTATTAACAGTGATGCAGCAAGAACTGATTTCGCTACAATGCCAGTGACAAAATTCTGGATCCAGTGTTTGCAGTCATATCCTGTTCTGTCTGAGACTGCGTTGCGCCTTCTTCTTCCATTTCCAACAACACATCTTTGTGAAATAGGGTTTTCCAGCTTGTTGGTTATCAAGTCTAAATACAGAAGTAGACTTGTTGTGGAAGATGATCTTCGTTGTGCTCTTGCAAAGACTGCCCCGAGAATTTCTGATCTGGTGAGAAAGAAGCAATCGCAATCTTCACACTGACGTTGGCTTTTTATGCATACTGTTACAAAATGTACCAATATAGTTTACTGTTGTTGTATTAAAACTGTTATCCATACTACACCATGCTTCAAGACAAAATTTCATTTATTTGTAATTAGAAATAAATATTTCACAATGTATAATTACATATTGTTTTTGTGATTAATCACCATGCTTTAATTATGTTCAATTTGTAACAATAAAAATACATCCTGCATACCAGATATTTACGATTCATAACAGTAGCAAAATTGCAGTTATGAAGTAGCAACGAAAATAATTTTATGGTTGGGGGTCACCACAACTTGAGGAACTGTAATAAAGGGTCGCGGCTTTAGGAAGGTTGAGAATGGATGTTGCTTACCTGAACGTCCCTTTTCGTTGCGCTGCATGTCAATTCATAGATGGGCTTTCGTCATCTGCCGGTCAGGGACTGAGCATGGTGTTTCTTTAAATCTTTTGGCCACGCCTTCCCTCCTCTCAGGGACCTCAGTTGTTTCGCGAAGTCGTTGTCCACCAACTTGTCCTGAGAAGGAAGCACAAACAATTCTGCCCAAGACCAGGCAGCCGGAAGGGAGGGATGAATTGACACGCAGCGCAACGAAAAGGGATGTTTAGGTAAGCAACGTCCATTTTCCATTGCACTGCTCAGTCAATTCAAGTCAATTGGCTTTTTATCAGGTTTGCCTAATACTCCAGTTGCGCCCCTTTCTGGATTGGGACTCCCTACGCACAGTCACTCAAGCACTCGTCACTTCTCGTCTGGACTATTGTAACGCTCTCTACATGGGGCTCCCCTTGGGGTACACCCGGAGGCTCCAACTGGTGCAGAATGCGGCCGCGCGGGGGATTATGGGAGCGACGGGGTGCTCCCATGTGACTCCTCTCCTGCGCGAGCTGCATTGGCTTCCGGTGGACTTCTGGGTGCGCTTCAAGGTGTTGGTGATCACCTTTAAAGCACTCCATGGCTTAGGGCCAGGATACTTACGGGACCGCCTTCTGCCACCAATTGCCTCCCACCGGCCAGTTCGCTCCCACAGAGAGGGCCTCCTCAGGGTGCCGTCGGCCAGACAATGTCGGCTGGCGACCCCCAGGGGGAGAGCCTTCTCTGTGGTGGCACCTACCCTCTGGAACAATCTACCCCCAGAGATACGAGTGATCTCCGACCTCCAGACTTTTCGTCGGGCCCTAAAAACCTATTTTTTTCAATTAGCCGGGCTGTCCTGATTTTACGGCTGGTTTTAAAATTTGATATGGATTTTAATCGAAAAGTTTTAAATTATGGGTGAAATTTATTTAATTATTTTAAATCTATTTTTAACTTTTGTGTATAAATGTTTTTTATCTTGGCTGTTCACCGCCCTGAGTCCGAAAGGAGAAGGGCGGTATAGAAATCTGAAAAGTAAATAAAATAAATAAAATTCATAGATGGAATCATATACCCAAGCATCAGAAGTCACAGGGAGGGAGGCTGACTGGGCCCCCACTGGAGTCAGAATGGACCTTCTGCAAAACTCGACGCCCGAATAACGCCTCTGCCAATGCAAAGCTGTCTAGTTTGTAATGTCTGACAAACGGTGTCAAGGAGGTCCAGGTGGCTGCCCTACAAATGTCTAACACAGAAGCCTGGGTGGACCAAGCAGCCGATGTTGCTGCACTCCTCGTAGAGTGTGCCCACACTTTACCTGGAACAGACCTGCCCTTGGAGCTATAAACCAGGGAGATATATGCTTTAATCCAACATGCCACCGTCCTAGAAGAGACCTTCTTTCCCAGGGAGGAAGGATGGAAGGACACCAGGAGTGCCTCTGTCTTACGGAAAGAAGCCGTTCGCGCGATATACCTCCGTAGCGCTCTCCGCATATCCAGTATATGCCATTGAATCTCCAACCTATGCTTGGGGGAAGGACAAAAG